CGAAATGACCACGCCATCCACAACGAAACCAACGCCCGCTCGCACGAGGTCACGAAGCTGCAGGACGGCGTCGTGGTCCCGCAGGGTCCGGTCCGCTGTCTACCTTTAGGTACCACACGCGGCACACGACACGCGCGACACACACAACGTCACACGCACGACACACACAACGCCACACGCACGACACACACAACGCCACACGCACGACACACACAACGCCACACGCACGACACACACAACGCCACACGCACGACACACACAACGCCACACGCACGACGCGCATGACACGCACGGAATTGCTGATGCGTACTTGCCTCGGCTGGTGATGGCGCCATCAGGCATGATGCCAGGCGCCCCAGGCCATGCGCCGATCTACACGGCGCCCACGCACAAGCAGTTTCGACTTCGCTTCCTCGTCGTGGTGGACTATCTCGCTTCCGACTCCTCTTCATCGTCGTCATCGTCGTCGTCATCGTTGACGTCGTCAGCATCATTATCACTATCACCTCCGTCTTCTTCATCGCTGCCGTCGTCGTTGTCGTTGCCATCAGTTTCATCACTCCCGTCATTGCCGTGCCGTCGACTTCCTTTACGTCGGCGCCGCCGCCGCCGCTGCCATCGGCCTCTTCACCATTCTTGTTGGCGCCGTCCGCCGGCTCGTCGACCTTCTTCACCCACGCACCGCCGCCGCTGGCCGCCGCCATCAGCAGCAGCAGCGCCTACCGATATATGCCGCCGGCGCCGGCTCACAGGCTGTCGTCCATGTCGATGCCCCTGATGAGGCCCGCCTTCACGCCGACGATGCCGCTGACGCCGCCGCCGCCGCCCTACGTCTCTCTGGCGCGCTCCTTCACGCCGCCGCCGCCGCCGACGATGAGTACGAGCTACGCAGGGGCCCCAATGTCGTCGGACTTCACGCTGCGGCCGCACGGGCCGGACTGGCAATTCTATGCACGGCCCGCTCCCCTTGTTGCCTTGCGACCGCATGTGCAGTGACTAACCTGAGCGCACACACGACACACAATGACACACACACACCACACACACAATGACACACACACACTACATGACACCAGAAACCAGAGGACGGGACGTGGCAGAGCTTCGAGGCAACTGGGAATTGGTTACTCGAGACCAACTACCAGGCCACTCAACGACTCGGTGGTGGAGCCCTCCCCCACCCCACCATCGCGGGCGGCAATGGCGTGATCTACGGCATCGACTACACCAACATGATCCAGTACAGGTGCGCACGTGCGTGTGCGTGTGCGTGTGCGTGTGCGTTTGCGTGAACCCTTGCTTATTGTTGCACGCGTGCAGACAAGACGACCCCGACCGCATTCGCAAAATCAGGCGTGTTGGCTAGGCTTCATTCAATGCGTGTCAACCTCACAAATTTGGACAAAGAAAAAAAAACCTGGTGCGCATTGGGTGTTCATCATTCTCTCACAGACTTTGATAGTCGCGCCATTGCGCGACCATATCGTCAAGGTAGGACAGAGTCTCAGTGTCATCCAAGTCCACCACTCGCTGCTGGCCGTGCAAGCGCGCCAGGGGGCGGGAGACCAGCACCTGCACGCCATTCGAATTACTCAGCATCGACCCACTCATCCGATGGTGGCCCTTGTCTTTGTCATCTGCATCACCTGCATAGTCATTCACAACATAACATTCATTACTTATTACTTGCTACCACAATACAACAATACAACAATACAACAATGCAACAATGCAACAAGTTGAGCTCACAGCATTAACCCACACAAAGACTATAACATGGGGTGTACGCACAAGAGAGTGTGATGGGTTGCGTAGCGCCCCCAAAGGGAGCCGAGCTCAACACCGACGCGAGCTCAACACCGGAGCTCCTCTTGTCTTGTCTCGCCCCCGCGCGCACTGCCGCCTCGACCTCGCCGTACTTCTGGCGACCTATATACAGATATTTATTAAAAAAAAAGAGATACATATTTACATGTTATAACATATATATAAATGTAATATATATGTAAAAAAATAGACAAAGGAAAAAGAAATGAATGGGGCACCTGCGGCGGGGTTGGTGTGGAATGTGGCGAATGCCGCGTGGCACACGCTGTCGTTGTGGCCGAGCGGGGCGTCGCCGGACAGGCAGCTGGCCCGGTGGCGCAGGAGGCGCGTGACCACGTCGGCGATGGCGATGGCGGAGTGGGCTCATCGGAGCAGGTCGCGACGATGGGCACGTGGGACAGGGACAGCAGATGGAAGAAGGGGTAGGGCACAAGCTCGGTGGTCATTCGCTGCAGCGAATAAATGGCCGCACCCTGCATGCACAGATCCAATGGGCCAATCATCAGCATTTTTACAATGAATTGCGCTCCTCTCCAATCGAAATGGTCCAAAGGTACCATTGCAGCCGTTCGGCCGAAGCGGAGTGGGTGCGTTGCGCCGGAGAACGCGTCGGCCAGCACGTCGTACGTCCCCGCGATGCTGGCCGTTTGATATTCATTGTCAGCGTGCGTGTGCGTGTGCGTGTGCGTGTGCGTGTGCGTGTGCGTGCGTCGAACGTTATGGCACAAGGACCGACGTACGTCGTCGTAGGGTCGTAGGGTCGGGGCGTGCCGTCGAGCAGGACCGCCATGGAGGTGCAATCATTCATATGGTGGAGCGTACGCGCGACATCCCCTACGAAGCCACACGACACACACGACACACACGCAACACACGCCACACACGCAACACACGACACACACGCCACACGACGCAGGATACGATACACGACAGAGAGAAAGAGTATGAGTGCGCCCTTGACGACAAGGAGAGAATGTGGGAGGCTGACGAACAGCAGACGAGGTCGCTGACGGAGTCGATGGGCGGCATCACGGCCGCGGCCACGGACACGATGTCCGGCCACTCCTCCACGCAAGCCAGCAGCAGCTGACGCTCCAATTGGCCCATCTCTGTGTTGTGTGCCGCGTGTCGTGTGCCGTGTATCGTGTGCCGTGTGCCGTGTGTAAGTGTGTCGTGTGTCGTGTGTCGTGTTGTGTCGTGTGTCGTGTGTCGTGTGTCGTGTGTAAGTGAGTGTGTGTGCTTACCTCCGAGCTGGAGGAACATCAGGAAGCCGTCGACGAAGTCGGCTCGCTCCATCTCCTTGCGCACCACCTCGACTAGGCGACTTTTCTGCTCGTCCACCGCCTCGCCCTCCATCATCAAATCGCTGCATTCCACATAAGACACGACACATGGCCACACACAACACACCGCATTTTATGGTAGTATTGATTAATCGACCGTGTGCGGCGTGTGCGGAGTATGTTGCATGTCACGTGTCACGTGTCACGTGTTGTCGCATGGTAACGCACTTGTCGGGGCAAATCATGGAGCGCATCCGCTTGGCGTTGGCGGTGTCTAACACGGATCCCATAGATTGGCGATCCACCAGCACGGCCCTCGGCACAAACCTGCCTGCACGCGCCGGTCAATCCAATCGCACACACCGTACACACCGCACACACCGCACACACCGCACACACGCAATGGAGGAAGACGTCACTCGATGACAGGCTGTGGCCGCCGGGGGAGGCCTCGCGGAAGTGCGAGTGGAGGGGGGGCCACTGATGATGGCTCCCAGAGAGAGCGAGTCCGCCATCGCTGGATCGCACCCCCACCTCCCCGCAGACCCGTTCCCAGTACCGAATGCCCAGCTCACACCCTGCGCGTGTCGTGTGCGTGAGTACGTGCGCACACACACCTGTGAGACACGACACACGCGACACGACACGACACACGCACACAACACACACGATACACACCCGCTTGGCCAAAGTGGAGATGGATGATCTCCGGCGGCGAAGGCAGCGCACTTGCGCCGCTGGCTCGGTTGCGCAGTTGCGCGTCAGTGTAGCGCGAAGTCGGGCGTTGGCGGTCGCGACGTTGGCGGTCGCAGTGGTAGTGGCGCCAAAAGAGGCGGGCGACGGTGCACTGGTCGGTGGCCACCGCACGCCACGCGCGGCACACCAGCGCCGCACTACGCTGCAGGTCGCGCAGCGTCAGGAACTCGAACACAAGAGCCCACACCTGCCGTGTGTGTCGTGCCATGTGTGTGTGTCGTGTCGTGCCGTGTGTGTCATGGGTGAGTTCAAGCCAAGAAAGGAAGCGTAGAGAAAAGAAGAGAGGGGGGGGCACCTCAGGTGGTATGACGTCGACCGGGGAGAAGCCCGATACAATGGGTGAAGCCGAAGTTGACTCCGGTGGTGGTGCTCGGGCGCCTACGACGCCGTCAATCCTCGCGGGCTTGCCAGGGTTTGAGCAGAAGAAGAACTGGCACTCGGGCCACCTCTTCACCCGCTCTTCCATCCTTTACTTCAAATTATTTAACGTTTCCCATATCATTTCCCGCTTTTTATGATATTTTTGTCTCTTTTTTATTTCTAACACTAAATAAGTAGGCCGATCATCATCGCCGATCATCGCTTCTGCCACTTGAGGAACTTGACGAGGAGGCAGGTGATGAAGATGAAGATGAAGTAGAACCCGAGCAGCAGCATGGCATCGCGCACCATGTTGTCCGACGAGAAACTGATCTGTAACATCGATTGTGATGGTCGCACACGCGTGAGCCACCAGCACCGCGGGGGGGGGGGCGTGAGTGTGCGCCGTACCGAGTCGAGGTACTCCTCGCCGGTGGTGATGCCGCAGAACTCCTTGAAGACGCCCGGCTGGCTGGCGATCGGCACCTGCGCGAACTCGTGGCCCGTGCAGTGAAGCTTGAGGCCTTCGAACTCGTTGATCATCAACACCTCCAACGCAAACATGTTGATATCTGCATGTTATTGTGTAGACATATACAATATGAGTTGGTTGCATGGTAACGACTCATATGTGTGAAATATATGTATGTATGTAGAGAGCGACGTACCGATGTAGTGCATCCAGATCCACCAACCGCCGATGTCGTCCCTCGTGATGAGGAAGCCGGCGAGCAGCGAGAAGAGGGTGAAGAGGATGGCCGAGAGCGAGTTGGCGATGACGACGTTGGGCGACAGGAGGCCGATGATGTGACACAGCGAGATGGCGAGCAGGTTGGTGAGCAGGAAGATGCCGAAGAAGATGAAGTATCTGTCCGCATCGTACTGCAGGCCCGAAATGAAGTACAACGGAATACTATTCATTGTAACATATATATAGGAAGCCACACATAGGAATATGTTAGCAAGAATGTTGTGAAAGGAATGTGGAATGTGACGTACGTGTAGAGGACTGCGGTGATGACGGCAAAGGGGAGCTCGGGGAGGATGATGCTCGCGGCGTAGACCAGCGAGTTGTACGTGCGCGCCGCGTGCTCGCGATAGAACACGGCACGCTCGGCCAGAATCTTGGGAATCGCCGCTGTTCGATTCAATAGCGATATGTCAGCGTGTGTAGTGCCGTGTGTGTCGTGTTGTGTGCGGTCTGGGTGCGTACGCATGGCAAGAAGATCGCAGATGAGCATGGAGAAGAAGATGACGGCAGATCGCTGCGTGGCGCCAGCCTGGTTGTTGTCCATTTGGAGGAAGAGAGTGCCCATGATGCTGCCCAGTACCAGAGGGCCGATGATCTTGTTCCAGAACTCGTTCGGCGTTCGCCACACCGCAAGATACGCTCGCTTGATCGTCTACATACGACCAATTAAAACAACATGTAAATAAAAAGTACATACATTTTTACATATACAGAAGGTGAACGCACCTCGGTGAACTGCACGTGCATGGGGTTGGCGTAGCGACCCTTCATTCTCTCCTTGATCTGCTCCCAACCACGATCGTTAGATACTGATGAGTGGGCGCACCTTGGCGTTGTGTGGTGTGTGTGTGTGTGTCGTGTGCGTGTCCGATATGTACCTTCTTCCATCGGCGACGGAGACGGCCCTTGGTCTCGCGCTCCCGCTGGATCGGGTAGATGCCCTCTTCCAGCTGCTGCAGCGCGTTCTTGCAAAACTCTGAATTCTGATAGGCCGCCACGTACTCGTCGCTGTCTCCTCCCTGCTTGCGCGTGTTAGCACGGGCAAGACTTTCAAAGAATGCAGGAATGGAAACGGCCGTGCGTGCGTGACATACCGCGGCAGGCTTCTGGGTCTCCTGGTCGCCGTCGCCGTCCTTGGGCTTCTCCTTGATCTGCTTGGCGGTCTTGGGAATGCCGGCGCCGGTGACCTCGAGGATGAACTCGGCCGGGTTCTGGTTGGGCTTAAGGTGGCTGCCCAGCTTGGCAAAGTAGTCCAGCAGGACCGAGCAGTCGCCGTCCTCCTCTCCGATCGGCCCAAAGTAGGTCATGTACCCACCTGTACATACACCAATTGTTAAGATGGCGGTCTAGGTGGCAGATCAAGCTAGGTGGCGGCTAAGGTGGCGGTCGAGGTGGCCATGGTACCCTTCTTGAGCAGGAGCAGGTGGGTGAACATTCCGAAGATGGTTGACGAGGGCTGGTGGATGGTGCACACGATCGACGTGCCGCGGGCGGCGATGTTCTTGACGGCCTTCATCACGCGCTCGGCGCCGAACGAGTCCAGGCCCGACGTGGGCTCGTCGAGGAAGAGAATGGCCGGGTCGGCCGCCATCTCGACGCCGATGGTGACCCGCTTGCGCTGGTCGGCAGAGAGACCGTCCTGCGCGTTGTTGCCGATGATGGCGTTGGCCTGGCCCTCGAGGCCGAGCAGCTTCAGGAGGCTCTTGGCGAACTTCTTCTTCTCCTTTTTAGGAATGCTGTGCGGGAGACGACACTATGATGTACACATATAAATAATGTGTCAAATATACTGTAAAAATATGTCAAGTATGTGGAGCTGACGTACGACGGCGCTGTACTGAAGGGCTTCGAGCACGGTCTGGGTGGGGTTGTGGATGTCCTGCTGCTCGACGTAGCCGATGACGCGGTTGAGGTTGCTGTCGGCCTTGCGGCCGTTGATGAGCATCTCGCCGCCGATCTTGCCGCCGGTCTTACGGCGCGCCAGCACGTCCATCAGCGTCGACTTGCCCGCGCCCGACGAGCCCTGCATTTCAGTGAATGATGATGTCAGCGGCGTACACATATGGGTTATTATCAACATATAGATGTATATCAACTATATGTGCGCGCATTGCTCGCATACCATGAGGGCGAGCATCATGCCGGGCTTGACGTAGCCGTGCACGCCATGGAGCAGCTGGAGGTCGTGCTTCTTGAGACCCTTGCGGATCTGGACCGAGTAGTCCAGGTTGTTCCACGAAAGATAGGCGCCGGCCGGCGACAGGTCCTTCTCGCCCACCTCGCCGCCGCCATCGTCAATGTCGATGTCGCCCTCTGTCAACATTTGTGTGAGTTCCATAGCACGACTCGACACGACACACGACACACGACACACGACACACGACACACGACACACGACACACGACACACGACACACGACACACGACACACGACACACGACACACGACACACGACACACGACACACGACACACGCACACAACACTCAATACGAACATCCATTCGCTTCTTACCCTTCTTGGCTTGCTTCTTGTACTGCGCGAGATCGACCTCTTGCATCTCGTGTTCGTCGGCGGCCATCTCGGCCATGGGCGGCGCCGGGAGCGGCGTGTAGCGAACGAAGCGGAGGGCGAGGTAGGCCAGCGTGGTGAAGATGAACCACCAGGCCACGACGCAGGCGAGCATGATCCAGCGGAGCTCGGCCACGTCGAAGATGTCAAAGTCGTTGACGGCAAAGGCCGTGCCGGAGGTGAGCGGGCACACCTGGTTGCCCTCGAAGCCGCCCGGATAGGAGGTGTTGAAGTTGGGCACCGACCGGGGCGGCGCGAGCTCGTCGTCGCCGCACGTGTAGCGCGCGTCGAACAGCTCGTTGGCCGCAAAGCCCATGAACGCGTACGCTGTGCAGCGCACCAATGTGAGAATGGCCAGCAAAAATAACAATACAAAATCCACCACTCAACAAGCGGGCAACGAGTGTGAGTGTAGGATTGGCTGGGGAGACTTACAAACTGGATTGGCGTAGTAAAACCTGTACCCAGAGTTCAAGGTGAATCAGCACATGTAGCATAAATATGCAGAATTTATGGGAAAATATGACATAAATGGTGGGGTTGTCGTACCAGATCCACCACCCGGGGATATTGGTCTGTTTTATATAGAGAGAGATATTGTCAGTACATGTGAGGCACATTAAGACAAGAAAAAACGACATTCGTACCCTGGTGATCATGAAGCCGGAGATGAGGAGGTAGAGCGCGAGCAATGACGGGCCGGTGCTCTGCGCAGACACGAGATCGCGTGACCAGGACGCAACAGCTCGCGCGAACGCTCGGAACATCTACGATTGTGGTTGGTCAGCAATAGGACCATCATCGATCGAGGGCTGCGGTGGAGTGACGTACGAAGTAGAAGAGGATGCACATCAGCATGAAGTAGCCGAAGCGTCCACCGGCCTCCGAGTCATTGAGTCCGCAGAGCCAGTACACGATGCAACTGAACAGCACGCCCTCGATCACCGTCATCGGCACCTGTGACAATGATGTGAGCTTTTGACCTTCCTGGAATGTGGGGTTGGCATGTGTGGAATGTGGAATGTGGGGCGTAGATGTACATCGGCAAGAATGTTGGCGGTGAGGTAGGGCAGCGGTTTGTAGTACTTGGCGTCTCGTTGTCGATAGAATACGTCGCGCTCGACGAGCACCGACGGGAGGGCGTTGGTCGACGAGAAGGAGAAGTAGCCCATCACCACGAACATGAGACCCAGGCGCGTACGCGCGTCGGTCTGGCCGTCGCCCAAGCGCAGGAAGAGCGTGCCCAGCAGGAACGAGATGAAGAGGCACCCCACGATACGCGACCTGTTTGTCGGCATATCTACACAACACGACACACGACACGACACGACACACGATCATTAGAGCAAGGCGCAGGTTGTTGTTGTTGGGCGGAAGAGGAACGCACCGCGCCAGAGCTTGATGAAGGAGCGCTGGGTGAGGCGCCAGAACTGAAACCACACGGACGTGGGGTACTTGATGTTCTCCGAGTAGTCCACCTTCGTCAGATCGCCGATGTCCACTCGCTGAAGGAATATCAAAAATGTGTGAGTTCTTCGGCCCGTGTGCGGTGGTGCGTGTGCGGTCTTGCGTGTGTCGTGTTACCTCTTTCTTGGCCGAGGGCTGGCTGGCGCTGGCCTCGCTGCGGATCTCTTCGATGGTCTTCTCGACCTGGGCGTAGTAGGTGGACTCCTTGTAGCGCGCGACGAACTCGTCGGGCTTGAGCCACTCCGCGTCTCCCTGCTCCTCGTCGCCCATGTCCCGGTACTTCTCCGGCAGCGGACACTGGCCCGTCCCACTCTCCACCACCTCCTCTGTTGTCGGTTTGGGCCAGGTCAGCAGCCATGTGCGATGCATGCATGTGTGTGCGGTGTGTGCGTGCGGTGTGTGCGTGCGCGCTGTGTCGTGTCGTGTCGTGTCGTGTCGTTGATCGTGTCGTGTCGTGTCGTTGATCGTGTCGTGTCGTGTCGTGCGTTGCCGTACGAAGGAACTCGGCGGGGTTGACGTTGGGGTGGCAGCGGTAGCCGAGGCTCTCGAAGTGGGCGAAGGCGTCCTTCTTGGAGCCGAGGAAGGCGATCTCGCCGTGCGACAAGATCAGCACGTTGTCGAACAGGTTGAAGACGTCGTAGCTCGGCTGGAGCAGCGCCACCATCGCCGTCGTCCCCATGTCCACGCCTGACCGCAGCGCACGCAACACCTGTGTCGTGCGTTGTGTCGTGTTGTGAGCAACACACGTCAACACACGAGATACACAGCGGGTTGTTGACATACGTCGTAGGCGGCCGAGGAGTCGAGGCCGGTGGTGGGCTCGTCGAGGAGATAGATGGTGGGGTTCTTGGCAGTCTCGACGCCGATGGTCACGCGCTTCTTCTCGCCGCCGGACACGCCGCGCAGCAGGGCGTCGCCCACCACGGTGTTGGCGCGGTGCGTGAGGCCCAGCAGCTGCATGGTCGTGCGCACGCGCTCCTGGCGGTCGGCCTTCGACACGTGCTTGGGCATCTGGCAGTCCACGCTGAACTGCAGCGTCTCCTTCACCGTCAGCTGGGCTGATGTTTTTATCAACGCAACATACACAATCGGAGTTAGTCGCACATACCGCACACACGAACCGCACACGCACACGCTCCTGAGGAATGCGTGGAGTGGAATGCATGAGATATGTGAGGTGTGTACCGATGTGCACGTCGTCCTGGGGCACGTAGGCGATGTCCTGGTGGAAGTTGCCCTTGCGCGGGTCCTTGCCGTTGAAGGTGAGCTCGCCGGTGACCTTGCCCGAGCGCAGCCGATTGGCCAGGAGCTTGATCAGCGTCGACTTGCCGCAGCCGGGCGCGCCCAATAGGATGGTCATCTGGCCCGGCTTAAGGTAGAAGCTGACGTCATGCAACAGGTTCTTCTTGGATTTCTTCTTCTCGGCCGCACAGCACAGGCAAGCGTGGTAGACGTCGTTGTGGCGCTGGGCCGGCGGCAGGGCCTTGACGGTGTAGTTGAGGTGCGAGACCGCGACCGACAGCGAGCGGAAGTGGGGCACCAGCTTGCGACGCTCCTGCGCGATGTAGTCCCGCAGCAGGACCGACCTGCTCTCGTCCACCTGCACGCGCGGCTCATCGTCATCATCATCATCGCTCTCGTCCGCGTGCCCCTCATATTCGTCCTGTCGTTGTTGAGCGCGCGTGTGCGGTGTCGTGTTGCGTGTGTGCGTGTGCGGTGAGTTGATCGGGGGTCCAACTCCGCTTTTTTCCGCGCGGGGAATAAGAATCACATCAACCCGGGCGGATAGAAAGCAACGAAAGAGGCAAAACTATGCCGGTGGGTGGGGCAGAAGAAGATGTAGTACCGCAGAGGAGTGGTGGAGGCCGTTGTGTTGCGGTACGGCATCGATCGATTCGCCCGAAGACGAAGATGCAGAACCAGAGTCCTCCTCCGCCTGAAGGCGGCTGTCGTCACCCTCGCTCATCAGTGGTGTAGTGTGCAAATGGCTGAGTCGGTACTGGGCTCAGCTCTCACGGGGTGAGCTGGACGACGAGGTCCGTGGGTGTGGTGGGGTAAAGCAGTTGTGTTTGCCCGGCCCGGCACCAGGTTTTGTTCTAGCTCTCGCAAAAGCCCAATGGAGCATTTAAATACAGGTGAGACCCATTGATAGAAATTTGAGGCATTACTGATATAAAAGAAGTGTAAATAGTCTAAATACCTCACACCGGCGCTCGTAAAGTACCCGAGATGATGTGTGCCAGCTCGGCCGCTCTCTTTCTTGATGTTGTTGCACTTGGGCACTCTCGCCGCTAAGCTGCGTGGGGCAGGTCGTCCGGAATGTCGGCGAGGACGTAGCTCATCACCGCCATTGCGGCAACCGACCGGCGCACTCCATCGTAGTTGAGCGCTGTGATCGTGTCCTGCCGTCGAGTTGTTCATGCCGTGTCGCGTCGCGTCGTGTCGTTAGGACTTCAGGCGCAATGACGACGATGAAAGGAAGAACGAAAGACGAAAGAAAGAACGAAGAGATGGTGTACGGCGCTGGAGTGGTGGTAGTTGAAGTAGTGGGAGGAGCCCTTGCTGTCCAGCAGCGCGCCGCCAGGCACGCCAGCGGCGACCAGGGGCGCGTTGTCCACGGTCGTGCCGGCGCCCTCCACGATCTCGCCCACCTTGACCGGCTCCAGCAGCCCTATGCGTGTGGTCGCCAACGACGGTCATCAGAGCCACCACCACCCGCCTGAGGCGCGGCTGAAAGAGCGAAGCGCGCGGGCGTACCGGAGAGGTTGCGGAAGATGGCGAGGCCGTCCGCGCTGCCGGTGAAGCCAAAGCCGTAGGGATCAAACTGGTGGACAATCAAATTCATTACATTCCACACCCGTGTGCGTGTGCGTGTGTGGTGGTGCGTGTGCGTGTGCGGTGCGGTGTGTACGTTTCCGATGTCGGACTCGACAGCGATCTGGTGCCTCTTGAGCTCGTGCTCGTGCGTCTCCTTGTAGGTGACGGCTCCCCTTCCGGTCATCTTCGATCCACCGCCACAGTCACCTTGAAGGTCAGCACCACCCACCCAACCACTTAACGACGCCTTGCAGCGCCCGACCCAGTGCGAACCTCCTCGTCAGCCCAGGCGATGAAGCGAATCGTGCGACGCGGGCGCGCGATCTTCCTCTCCTCAATCAGATCGTTGATCAATCGCACTGCCTCCCACGCTGCTCACCACACGACACACGACGACACACGACGACACACGACGACACGACACGTATTGAGTACTGGCGATTGATAGGTCCTGGGGAGGCAGAGTACGAACCGCAGAAGAAGCCGGCGCCATCGTCGACTGCTCCGGTGCCGACGTCCCACGAGTCCACGTGGCCGCCGAGCAAGACGATGCCCTCGGGGTCCGCGCCGCCCACCACTTCGGCGATCACGTTGCGCGACGAAACCTGCCGGTGGTGGTGAAATTTCGTTAGCGTCGGACGGACCAAAGCACTCGAGAAGCCACGTCAGCAATTGGGTCTGTGTGTTACATTGTAACCCAGAATCTGGGCGTCCATCTGGAGTCTCACGACCACGGCTTGGCCTCGCTTCTGCATGCGGGCCATCATCTCGCTGTCCTCCACCGTGACAGCTGCGCCCACAAACGAACGCTTCATTCTTCAGAAAAAAACGACACGCACGACACGCACGACACAACGCACGACACGACACGCATGCACGAAAGAGGGATCGCTCCCATTGGATTGGGCTTCGTACCGGCCGCGGGAATGCGGGGCTGCTTGTCCGAGTAGTTGACCCCGCCGGTGTGCGGCGTGTAAAGCGAGTAGGGCGTGACCGAACGCACCAAGGCAGCCACCGCCCCAACCTGCGCGTGCGGTCATGTCGCGCGTGGCGTGCGTGCGCGGTCGTGTGGTGTCGCGCGTTTCGTGCGTGCGCAGTCAACATGTTGAACAGTGAGTGCGGATTGGCAGGGTCGTACGGCCGAGGCGGCGTCGGCGCCACGAGAGCGGAAGGCGACGGTTTGGCCGTAGGTGGTGAACGGGGCGTTGAAGAGCACGATCTTGCCCTTGGCCTTGTCCGCATTGGCCGTAAGCTCCTCGAACGTGCTCACCACGAACACCTCCGCAGTGACCCCCTCGGACCCAGTCCCAGCAGACTTGCCTAGACACACGACACACGACACACACGACACACAACACACGACACACGACGCACGACACACGACGCACGACACACGCCGCACACAATAGGACACACGCAACACGACACGACACGAACATGTTGTGAGAAGTGTGAAGGGTGTTGTTGGTGTCAAGTGGATGTGGTGCGAGGTACCGAGGCCCAGGAGGGCCATGCTGGTGCGGCGAGGGTGGAGCAGCTCGAGGGACTCCTTGCCACGCTTCCAGTTGATGATCCCGTCCACGGGCTCGCCTCGGACGTTGGCCAGCCCGTCCTTCTTCAGCGTCTGTTGCAGCGCACGACCACCACCACCACCACCGTCAGAGCCACTCCTGCTGCGTGAGGTGCCACATAGCTCTGAGGCCGTACCTCGAGCATCCAGTCGATCGCCAGCACTTGGTTCTCGCTCCCTCTATTGGGTCCAATAAACATAAAATTACAACTCAGTATTTATTTTTTACAGTATTGTATTTGATTTGATTTGTTTATTTTAATGTATTTGAGAAATTGGATGAATAAATAAGGGGGAAGGGGGGGGTACGAGAAGCGGGGGCCGAAGGTGTCGCAGAGGTACTCGAGCTTGGAGAAGTCGGTGCCGGTGAGGGCGGCCTTGGTGAGCTCCGCGGCCTCCCGCTCGTAGGGGGCCGCAGCCGGCGCGGCACTGGCGGCAGCCATCACCGCCATGCAGACCACTGCGACCACCCACCCCCAGTGCGCAGGCCTCGGCCGCACAGTCGTCATCTTCCTCTTTTGGTTGTCAAAACTAAAATCCAACCAACAAGGAAACAGAATAAAAATATATTCTAAATATGCAAAGTAAATCAATAAAACTCCCCACCCCAATTAATTGGAAAAAAAAGAACACAATGTATTACACTTTTAAGGGTCTGGGGCTGTGTGGCACACGAATAGTTGTTGTTGCTGCTGTTGTAGAAGTCAGGTCGCTCCGTTCTCCACAACCCTCCTCTCTCTTCTACTTCTTCAGTTGGCTACTGACATCAAGCGCCCAAGTTTAACAAAAGTAAAGGGAGTGAGTCACAACAAACGACAAACGACAAACTGCGTAGTTTGGTGGTGGCCACGTCGTGTACCTTCTTCCACGACGGTCAGGTAGTTGTTGGGCACGAAGCCCTGCTTTCCGTTGAGGTCGGCGTACCACCAGCCCGACTCGTCCTGCTCGGAGACGGTCAGGATCTCGCCCGCCTTGAAGCTCTGTGCACAGGCCATGGCACGCACACGACCAACGACACGACACGACACGATCAGAGGCGGCACTCCACGCGTTGTGTGTCTGTCGGGGAAGAGAAGACGACGGACGCACCAGTTCGGTCTCGTTGGTGGCCTCGTAGTCGAAGAGCGCCCGGGCCTTCACCTCGACGTACTCCACCTCCTCGAATTCACCCCCCTCGGCATCTCCTGCTTTGCATAGAGAAGACTTTTTAGTAAAAAGTCTGCGCGTGTCGCGTGTCGTGTGGCGAGTGCGGTGGGTGTGTGCGCTGACGAAAAAGAAAAAGAAAAAGAAAAACTGAACGCACCATTGGCCGGTTCGGGGCTGGCGTCCTCGGACGGGGCGACATCACCGCTGCCGCCGACAGCTTCGAGCTGCCTCACAATCTTCTCCTTCTCCTCCTTGAGGACGTCGATCTTCTTCTCCTGGTCCGTCGCTTCCTGTTGCGCGCATTTAAAATTGAATATTTCCCTATCACCGTGTGCGTGTGCGTGTGCGACTGTGCGTGCGTGTGCGGTGATGCCTGTGCGTGTGCGATGTCTCGCTGCGCAAAGGACTGAGCTGAGTACCTGCACCGCCTTCTTCTGAGCGACCGGATCAGCAGCGTAGAACTTGACGAGCTTGTCTGTGGCACGCAAACAATGAGTAAATGAGGAAACGAATAAATAAACAATTAATTCACAGACGGGGAAAAAAGGGAGGGAGGGACCCAGTCACGTGAAGCGCCGTACCGAGTCCCTTTTTGGATTTGATTTCGGATTCGATGTCCTCGTTGACCTCCTTGAGCTGCTGCTCGAGCTTGGCCTTCTTCTGGTCGTTCGACAGAGACTCGTCGGCCGCCGAAAGTCCCCATTGCTGCGCCCGTCCATGCACACACCGCCGTTGTTAACGCTCTGTCGCTTGTGCGTGTGTGCGTGTGCGCGGTCGGGTGCGGTACCTTGGTGGCCGCAGGCTTGTGGATCATGCTGCCTGCTGGCGTGGGCCTGTTATACAACGGGGGGGGGGAAGCGAAAGGAATCAGAAAAGTTCTTCACTCGGTTCTGGTTGGATGAGGGGCGAAGGCGTACTTGTGGGCTGGCGGAGCGGAGCGCGAGATGGAGGACGTGGCGGAGGGGCTGGAGCCGAGCGACGATGGCACGCCGCCCTCGCCCGAGTAGGGCTCGTACTGAATCTCCGGCGGTGGCGTCACGGCCGACGCCCTGTCGTGTGACAACACACACACCTCGGTAAGTTACGGCGCTTAATGAGGCCGCGCGGTCACAGCCTACCTGTTGTTGGCGATGAACGTGGCAACGTCGCTTGAGGCGTCAATCTCGCTGACCACCTTGTTCAGCGCCTGTGTTGTTGCGCCGCTCGAACCGTGAGAAAAAGAAAGAAAAGAAAGAAGAAAGGAAAAGGAAAAAAGAAATGGGGTGCGTGTGAAGAGACGGTACGTCGCAGGAGGTGGAGAGAGAGGGCGGGAGGGCACTGAGCATGGTCATGTACTGCTCCAGGACCTGCCTGAAGAACTGTGTGCGCTCCTCGTCAAAGCTTTGGAATTCCTGGAATGTGTTGCGTTGCGTTGTGTTAGAGGGAGCCAACCAATCATCAATCAGAGAAGTCGAATAGAACGAACCTCGAGCAGCTTGGGCATGTATGTCGTGTAGAAGTTGGTCTGGTGTTCGTTGGCCTTCTCGAGGACCTTCTTGTAGGCGACGTCGGCGTTCTGCGCCTTCTCCTTGGCCTCGACCGACTTCTTGGACAGCTGTGACAAGAAAATGGAAACAAACAAAATGATTAGAAGCCCACGTTGTGTGCGTGTCGTGTCGTGTGCGTCGTGTTGATGCGGTGGGGCAGTGTGCCGGCGGCATGTACCTTGTCGACGTCCTTTTGCTTGGCGGCGGGCTCGGCCTTCTTCTTCTGGTAGGCGGCTTCGGCGTCATCGGCGGCCTTGTGCAATTTGTAGTAGTTCTCCTTGGCCTGTGTGTCGTGCGGTCGGTCGGTCGGTCAGAAAGCGCACGCGCCAATTAATCTCAAGTAATTGGAGGCAGTAATTGCCCTGAAATGAAGAAGGTACCCACACAACAACAACCAACAACCAACAACAACCAACAACTGCACGGCGCGGACGAAGCACTACTAAGACAGAGGCAAATGAGGTTGAGTCGGACTTACCCGCTTGAGCGAAGTCATGGTGTCATGGGTGTCCTTCGTCAGCTTCGCTCCGTCCTTGTTCAACTGGGGAAACGCGTACGCACGTGCCACACAGCAAAGTCAGCAGTTGCTCACAGGGCCGGAGCGACAGCTTTGTAAGTGAGGTGGTGGTGGTGGTGTGGTGGTGTGTGGGTGGTGGTGGTGTAGCGGCCCAACCTTGATCTTTGTCTTCTCCTTCTCCTTGACCCAGTTGTCAAGGGTGAGCACGAGCTCCTCGGCCTTGCTGGCCAGCTGCTCGTGAAACTTGCCCACCTTCTCGAGCTCGGCGTGGAACGTGGTCCAGCTGTGCTCCACTGTACTGTGATGATCGCCCAACGCCAGTCAGACTGACTGACTGCGCAAGTCGCAGCCACACGCATACAGCACACGCAGCACGTAGACACGGAGGCGCGTAGAACGCCAACGTTGTAGAGAGTGTGTGTGAAAAACGTTCGTACCCGATCTCCTTGTCGGTTCTCTTCCACAGCTTCTGATCGACGGTCTTCGAGAGCTTGGCGAGCTCCTTCGAGTAGGAAGACTCGGCCGAGGCGAGCTATTATGCCCGACGGATGGGTTACTCAATGAAATGCCAATGTGAAAGTGCAAATGATTATCTGTGCTATGCATTGGGCTAGGCGACGAATGGGATGTTGAAAGAGCACCTTTTTGAAGAAAGAGCTGATGTCATCGAGCGACTTGAGAGTGTCGGATACTCGCGAGTAGTAGAGGCCAAAGCCATCCTTTACAACACAAAATCGTAAGAAAATTTGGGAACGTAGTAGCAGCGGCATTGGGTTAGAATGGACAAAAGAGCAGAGGAAGGTGAATGAATTCTTTGCTATACCTCATTTACGAGCAGGTCGGCCGAGAAGTTTGCCATGGTGGTTGTGGGGGACGAGGCACAAATTACAAGTCGATGGGCTCCAGACGATCAATTTACCAAGTGGCCCGCTATAAATTGATCAAGTTCGTCGAGAGCGAGTCGTTGGGTAGCCTTGACGAACCGGTCTGGGACTTCAGTGTTGCTTGTCCTTTTCTCCGCGCACACCAAAGGAGCCAATATTGCCCGCCAGGTTTTTTCCTCCTTTCAGATATCATCTTATTTTATTTACATAATACTCTGCTAATCACACAAGATGCCGAAACGTGGCCCACCTCAACTCTTGAGGCCTGAAGCCGATAAAAGATAACAAAACAAAACAAAAAGTAGAGAAAAATCAAATCCAAGTAGAGGCTCGCTGCTCTAGAGGAGGATGATGAGCACGACGGCCATGCCCGCGACCGCGCTGGCCGCGCTCGAGCCGAGGAGGGCCGTGCGCCAGTGCTCCTTCTGCCGGCGGAGCATGCTCTTGATGCGATCGGTGCCGGAGTCCATGGCCGAGCTGGTGGTGTCGACCTTGTTCTCGACGCGCTGCAGCTGCTCGCCCTGTCGGGCCAGCTCCTCGTTGACGTCGTAGGCCACCGCCAGGGTGCGGTCGAGCGTGCGCGCGATCAGCAGGAGCTGCTGGTCCTGGTGCTGCATGTGCGCCTCCAGCTCCTGCGCCGTCGGGCTGGTGAAGGTCTGCATGAAGTGGCGGTACTCTGCGCTAGGGGCCTCTGGGCGTGCGAAGCGGCGGTTGGGTGCGTAGGAGGTGGTCATCTCTGTTATGTCTTGTATCTAAGCTCGGTGGGCTTGCTGTTGAGTGTGATATACCACACAACCAGCTCACTCTCTTTATAAGGAACGGCCAGCGCCACGACACACCGACATCGACTTCCGCAGCGGTCACCACCATGCTTCCGCTTCGCTCGTGCGGACCGCACTCAACTTCGCTGCTTTTCGCTTCTGGTGGCGGTTGTTAGGTACCGGTAACAACCACCCACGAATTTTCGTAACGACCAATGGGAATTCAAAGTGGCGCGCCCCTTGGGAAAGGAAGAGAACGTAGAGAGGAAGAAGAAGTGACCCGAGGGGGCGCGACCTAGCAGGCCACTTGCCCTTTTTGTTCAAGAGCTGATTTGAAGAAAGTGGAAGAGGCGGCCGTGACGATAGTGAATCAAAGTTGATCTTTACTCCCCCTCAACACAAATCCTGCCTTGCTGGAAGAAGAGATGGAGGAACTGAATAGCGCCTGGGTGCGCATGACGAAGCTGCTGCACGCGCTCGAGGCGCAGGCCAACGAGATGGACCAGAAGATGGCCGACGTCAGAGCCTTGGCGATCGGTCAGCAGCAAACACCTCCAACCGTTCCCGAGCTGCTCAAGAAAAGCGGCCAATCTATGTACGCACCCGCCGCTCACCTGCATTACCCGACCCTACTTGACGAACAGGCATCGCTGTTGTGTGTTGTGTGTCATGTCTGCCGTCGTGCACTAGACCACCCACAACGCTGACCGTAACAGAAGCCAACGCACAAGAAGAGCGCGAACGTCCGCGCAGCCTCAGTGCCAATCTGGCCGGCTACAGCAGCCTGAGCGGTGCCAAAGGGAGGGATGACGATATTCACATCACCGTACGCTCTCGGCCCCGAACTAGTGGCTGCGTCGTGAAATTGCTCACATTACATTTGGTGCGATCAGGCGGCGGTCTCCATAGCGCACAAGGACGGCCTGTCCTACGATGAGCACGAACTAGTGATCCCCTTCAACAGCACCATCGACCGGGTGAAGGTGTGCTTGCTGCCTTGTTAACCAGGACTGAGAGCAAACATGTTTGAAACTGATCACATGATCCCACCTATGTGTATTGTTCGTGTGTGCGTGTGTGTGTGCCTGCGTTTCAGCGGCTCATCTTTCAAGTTGTGCCTCAGCTTCATGAGAACAGACTGGACGAGTTCGAGCTCTCCATCGATGGGGTACTCGCCCACGCCTTCTTTAGTGCGATGCTGGTTCGCGTGCTGACCACATCGCGACGTGCAGGAAGAGCTCATGGTGGAGTTCAACCGATTCAGCGAGCTGCCGGCCGTGCGAATGGCCATCGCCTCGAGGGTAATCACCACTCGCACGGTCCACCAAAAGAAGCCACACCTCTTCGCTCACACACTTTGCTTTGGACGTTGTAGGAGCCGGTCATGGTCGAGGTGCAGGCCAAGGAGTCCAAGAAGAAGCGCAACAGCAAGAAGAAGGAGAAAGAGAAGAAGGCCAAGGGATCTAAGCTCCACCTATCCGGCGGCAGCAAGATCGTGGCCAAGACCCTGACCCCCTCCCTGGAGCGGCGCGGCGCCGGGACCAGCGCGGACTCGTCCGGGAGGTCGGTTCTGGGCCTCAGGCCGGCTGCCGCCACCCCCGACGTCCTGGGAGACCGACCCGGCACCCCAACGCGCGAGCGGCGGCGCGACAGCGACCCGCGATCCTTCGCGGCCAGCTCGCGCGACCTGCAGCGAATTGCGACCACGACCGAAGACAAGACCGCTCGAGGCCTGAGCCCGACCACCCAGTCGTCGTCTGGTCGCGGCAGCCGCAGCAGCATTGGCAGCAGCACCGAGTTGCCGACAGGCCGCGAGCGCAGCGGCAGCGCGATCGTAGTGCGCGACCGCGAAAAGAGCACCGCGTCCGACGCCAGCTCAGACAGCGGCTCGCTGTCCCCGGTACCGACGGCGGTGGCCGCTCAGGCGGCGCCCGAGGGCCGGGCGTCGACCCCTACGTCGGCGGCGGCGAAGCAGCTGCGCGAGTCCAAGTCACCCAGGGCGGACTCAGGCGAGCAGGCGCTGGAGGGAAGCGGGACGGGCGCGAGCACGCTCTCGGTTCATAGTGGCCGCCGCAGCAGGAAGGAGGGCCACAAGCGCAGTCACTCCTCCGACTCTCGGGAGACCGACGCCATCATTGACTTGGAATTGGACGCCCTGAAGGTACGCAACTCACGCGCACACGCACACGCACGATTCTGGAATCTGAAAAAGGCTACAGGACTTGGTGGTAGGTGATCTGAGTCTGGACCTGGACCTGAAGCTGGGTATCATAAAGACCAGCCCGAACGAAGGAGCGACAACCACACAAAAGCGGAGCAGCAAACACTCCAGCCGAGGCGACGACGCCTCGGATTCGGCTTCGCTGTCAAGCGGGACCCGATCACAGGCGACGAAGCACGACAAGAAGAAGCTCCGGAGCGTCAGCCAGAGCTCGCGCAACAACGTGCGCGACATGAACGCGCGCCCAGCAGCCGACAAGAGCAAGAAGGCTTCCCATGACGCCGACGACGACGACGACGAACGCCAGAGCCTGAAGCTGCTGCTGGCCTCGCTCGGCCCGGGAGCGCTCACCATCCCCGCTGTCGAGCCCTCATCGTTGTCGTCGGCCTCGGCGCTGTCTCTCTCCGCGGCCAAAGCCAAGTCTAAGTCCAGGAGCGGCGACACCGGCCCTGTGCGCAAACAACAGACACGGGAGCGCGCCGCGTCAGCAAAGACCATCGTCACCGCCGCGGCTAACAACAACAACAACAACAAAAATGGCGGCGGCAAAAGCGTCGAGATGAACGACCGAGTGAAGGAGCTAGAGGAGCGGGAGAAGAAGCTGATCGAGTGGGAGGAGCAGCTGTTCAAGGAGGAGATGGAGCGCGACGAGAAGCGCGAGACGGAGGTGGCGAGCCGGGCCAAGGCGGCGGACGAGCTCGAGCGCGAGGTGCGCAGGCGCGAGGCGGCCGTGGTCGACCGCGAGCGGGCAGTGGACGACGTGCTCCGGCAGCGCGAGCAGGAGATCGAGCAGCGGCTCAGCGAGAAGGTGGCGGAGGAGGTGCGCAAGACGTTCGAGGCCCGCATGCTCATCCTCGTTGACTGGGAGGAGAGGCTGCGCAAGCAGGAGTCCGACTTTCGCGAACGGGAGGTAACCAACTACACACGCACACACCGCACGACACGACACGACCAACGACACGACACGACACACAGTGGCCTCACTTCTTGTGTTTTGGTGTGCTAGGTGAGTCGACTGGGCCTGAAGAGCGTGGCCCGCTACGATGAGCTGTTGCAGGTCGGGACGGGGCGCGTAGTCCGCATGCAGTGCTATGTGCGCCGGGCGCTCGCTCGGCTTCGGGTCCAGCGCGCTCGTGAGCTTCCCCTCACCTTTCGGGCTTCTCTTCTCTTTCGCGGATCGCTCACTGTTGTCTACGCTGTGTGGGTGCGGGCAGTGGGCGATGGGCCGGGCCGAGACCCGGTGATGAAGCAGCTCAAGAGTCGCGCCGGCACGCTCAACGAGATCATCAAATCCGAGGCCGCCTACGTGCAGTACTTGACCGTGCTCATGGAGGTGCGTGTCGTATCGTGTGCGTGTCGTGTGCCTTTGCGGTTATTGCGAATTGGGGCGTCTAACGGCGGCCATTGGGGCCAATGGTGGTTGAGCGCAGGCGTTCGCTGTGCCCATTCGGCAGAAGGAGGTGCTGCGATTGGACGACCAGCTGTGCCTCTTTGCCAACATCGGTAGTGTCCTGTCGCTGCACCAACGGTTCCTCGGCGACCTCAAGGACCGCTATGCCAGTTGGTACGCTCACTCCCACTCCCCCCCCTTCCTCGCACGCCACTTCTTACTGGGACACCGTACGGTGACTCACGACACACGACACACGACACACACGACACACACGACACACACGACACACACGACACACACGACACACAGGCCATCGCAGCCGATGCTTGGGGATCTCTTCTGTAAGTTTATGGTACGCCTCGCCCAACACCAGATATGGAAAGCGGGGGTGGTGCTCGCTCACGCGCCTTTCGTTCTGTCTTTCGTGCCAAACAGAAACTGTTCCACGAGGAGTACGCGGTGTACGTGCTGTCCTACCACGCGTCGATCGAGCTCCTGCACCGACTCAAGGCCTCGCCCACCAAGACCGCGTTCCTGTCCTTCGTCGAGGTAACGAACGAGCCCCCCCCCGGAATGGAGGGGCTTACGGTCATGCTGCAGGTGCTGACCGCACAACCAACACAGAAAACGCAGTCCGAGCGATCCAAGCAGCTCCGCGGGCTCGACCTCTCATCCTTTTTGATTATGCCCGGTACAATCACCATTCTTCCTATCTTTCATATATTCATATCTTTGGATATTTAGATATGTTGTGGTCTCCTCTACATGTGATGGTTATCACCCATGCCATACGACACGACAAACCGAATCACGAGCAGTGCAACGAATCCCACGCTATCAGATCCTGCTCGCGGTATGCGCCCCCCCCCCCCGGAGTGCCTCCAGACTTGCGTGGCGAAGGACTAAGACCAGCATTGTAGGAGGTGCTCGCCAACACGCCCCAGGGACACGCCGATCTGCCCAGCCTCCGGACCTCCCTAGAGAAGGTGATCGACTCAATGATGCAGTGGCGGCTCGCATTAACGCGCCCTATCATATTACACTCCACAGATCAAAGGGCTGAACGAGTCGCTGAACGACAAGCAGAAGGAGGCCGACCTGCTGCGGCGGGTGCAGGAACTGGAGCGGAAGAAGAGCGAGAGCCAGACGCCGCTCAGGCGGAGCAAGTCCATGCGCGCCCTCCTCTTCTCCCTCTCCAAGCGGCGCGGCAGCCTCACCTCCGACGGGGACGGCCAGTACGGCAAGCACCTCACCGTCAACGCCATCCATCGGTGCGCGCCGCCTCGTTGTGAGTGATGCCCCTGGCGCGTGCGGCGATCGCAACGCTCACACGACACGTGCAAGACGCACCAGGCAACCCGCCAAGGCGCGCGCCGAGCCGGGCAGCTTGCTCAAGGTCTTCGTGCACCAGGGCAAGAACCTGCTGCCCACAGGTGAGGATGGTATGTGTGTGTGTGTGTGTGTGGTGTGTGGTGTGTGGTGTGTGCGTGTGTGCGTGCGTGTGTGCGTGTGTGCGTGCGTGTGTGCGTGTGTGCGTGCGCGTGCGCGTGTTGCGCGCGAGTGGACTGATGGTGATGCGATATGTGGTTGGCAGCTCGCACGGTGCCGGATCCGTATTGTATGATCACACTGAGTGGCCAGATGCTGCGAACGTCCATAATCGAGGGGACCTCCGACCCTCAGTGGAATCAGGACTTCACCTAGTGCGTTCGCCACGACACGCGACAAAACACACTACACGACACGACCAACGACACGACGCACACACACGACACACGCGATTTTTTGGCTTCAGCTGCTCACTCCCTTTCGCTCTGGTGTCTGCGCCGGACCACGAAGTAATGTGACGAGCGTGAGCGACAGCCTGTGCGTGACGTGCTACGATTGGAACCAGTCGGCGCGGAGCCGGCCGTTGGGTTTCATCGAACTGCCCTTCTCCGTCATCGCCGAGATCGCCCAGGGCACCGCCCAGTGGTGCGGCCCGTCTCGCCCACCCGTCCCATGGGTTCATTATTTAACCAACCGCACGACACGCACGACACGCACACAGGTTCCGCCTGCTTCCCGTTTTCAAGCAGGGCCACGGCTCCTTCCAGGCCACGTCGCCATCATCATTGGCCTCATCGGCGCTGGCCACGCGGATGTCGACGTCGTCAGCGTCGCTGCGGCTCCCGCACCAGGACTCTCTACTGCCCGCGCTGCGCCACGGCCGCGCCTCGATGCCGCCCACGCTCCAGCTCTCGGGCCTGCCCGCGGCCGCGGCCACCGGCGAATCGTCGCCCGATGGCGGCGGCGTCCGTCCGTCGCCGCGGCCGCGTCGGCTGACGCCCTACTCGGTGGTGCCCTCGACGGAGATGGGCGCGTCGGCCGACGATGTCGAGTGGCTGGCAGAGATGGAGGTGCAGCTCTCCTTCGCGCTCCACCAGATCGACACGGCCCACACCGACGTTCAGGCCCGAAAGCGCTGCGACTCTACCTTGGTCCTTGGGTAGAGATAATGATGATCATCTATACTGACGTGAAGAAGACGCAGCAAGTCCTGTCTGTGTCGAACAGACCAGTAGTCAGGCAACCACCAGCAAAAACATATTTGAAGAATGTCCGAATAAAATTCTATTACATTGTTGAGATTTCTGCAATGTCGTATTCGCGATAATCGCGGGATTTATCCGGGATTCTCAATGCCCCCTTTTCCGCGGCTGAAACTGAAGCCGTGGCCACCAACACAACACCCGCTTCCGTATCCATTCGAATCCCGATCCCGAAGGAGTGCGGGCGTGAACGACGGCGACTTGAAGGAGTAGAAGAACTACAGAAAAGGGGAAGAGGGAAGATGAGGGCCGTCCGTGGGCTGCCTGGCTTCCGCCATTTCTTCGGATCGAGGCGAGGCGGTGGCCATGGAGCTGGCATCACATCCGACAGGAAGGATGGACCCATAGGCGAGATGTCGGACGATGAGGCCAGCTCGGCGGCTGCTACACATGGCAAGAAGCTCGTGGGCGACATGGAAGATGAGATGGATATAGACAACGAATGCTGCATCTGCCTCATCGACATGGAGGAACGCAAGTTCAGGGGCAAGATGGATTGCTGCGATCACGTGGTGTGCTGGTGCTGCATCCAGGAATGGGCTCAGACAAGTCGTAGCTGCCCCATCTGCCAAAGGAGCTACAACAAATGCAAAAAGACTACACCAAAAGCCAAGAAGGTATATCCTCCATCTCCTTTTCCCACCTACGTTCCTCATCTCTTAGAATGTCTTGTCTGGTCTCATTTCAAATTCCCTTAACTCAATGCGCGTAGCGTAACATTGAATCGATCAACATCTCTATATTGCACGATATATAGATGTTGTCGCCCTTTTGGATCGACTTGGGAATGCTGTGTGTGTTATGTGGCAGACTCTTCTCACCATTCTCTCCCATCCATCCATCCATCAATCCTCCATCCAGGGTCGAAAGCACACGAAACCGAACAAGGGGAAGAAGCAGCGCAGCCTGTGGGAGAAGGTGGGCGGGGGCATCCTCGGGCGGCGACTCCGCAGCGCGCGGTCATCGCCAGCACAGCCGCAGCAGCCCCCCAACCTCGCCGCGCAGTCGTCGTGGGGCGACATGGGTGACGAGGAGGCCGACGTCGACGTCGACGCGGGCGAGGAGGAGGTCGTCGTCTTCCCCATGCGCGACTCTCGAGGAGACGACGACGTTGGCGTCGTCGCTGTCGATGGCGCCGCCGCCGCGGCCGACGCCGACGCCAGCAGCAGCAGCAGCAGCAGCAGCAGCAGCGACGACAGCGACAGCCGCGGAAGCAGGAGGAGCAACGAGGAGGAGGCGAACGAGGAAGGAAACGACATGATCATCGTCAACATCATCAACGACGACGACAGCCCAGGAGAACAAGCCGAGGAGGAGGAAGAAAACGAGGAGGAGCAGGAAGAGGTGGCGGTGGAGGCAAGCCGTGTCGATGAGGCGGTGGCCGTGGCGGTGGGCCAGGCTGGCATCTCGTCGTCGCCGTCGCTGCTGTCGTCAGTGTCGCCGTTGTCGTCGCTGTCGACGTTGTCGTTGTCTACGTCTTCGGTGTCGACAAGAGACGTGTCTGACGAGGAGACGCATGCGGACAACAACAACAACGAGGAGGAGGAGGAGGAGGAGGCGACGACGACGTCGGGAAACAATTTTATTGCCGAGGGCGCCGACTGGAAGGACAAGGGCAAGGAGCTCGAAGAGGAGGAGGAAGAAGAAGATGATGAAGAGGAGGAGGAGGAGGAGGAGGACAGGGACAAGGAGGAGGAAGAGTGGGAGCGGAAGGATAGTGAGTCGGACGACAGCGATGACGACGACAGCGACGAAGACGAAGACGATGCGAACGGACCACTGGACTCCTGCTAGGAGGAGGAGAAGAAGAAGAGCTCAGGACCCCTTCTCGGCAGCTCCCGCATCACATCGCATCGCATTCCACTCAACTCTCGGCTCGGCTCGGCTCAGCTCAGCTCCACCCCTCAACAGCCCGATCTCGCAGGCCCGGATCGTCACCCTGGCGCACGCCGCCGCTTCCGCCAGCCCTGAGGGATCGTTTCGTTCTCGTTCTCGTTCTCTCGCTTTCTTGTTTTTGTACATTTCTGTCTATTCCCCCCTTGTTGTGTTTGCATTCTCTCCTCTCCACTTCTCTTCTATTCTATTCTTGTGTACACTTATCTTTTCCTCTGCCAAACAAACATATCTGGGTTCTTGAAGACCTCAATAAAAGAATGTTGAGTTGATATTTGATTAGTTGACATTAATCCATTTTTTGCTAAACAACGACGAGAGAGGACTACACCATGAACGTGGAGGATCTGCCAGAGGAGATGCTGCAGCAGGTGTTTCTAGCACTGGGTCAGCCGTCCCACCTGCCCACGGTCGCCCTCGTGTGTAGGTGCGAGACCCCCCTCTTTACACGTGAGAGGAGGCAGTGCAAGTTTGTTGACTTGCCAGGGGGGGGGGCAAACGTAGGCGGGTTAGCGTGAGCGTTGACTACTCGGTCCAGCGGCTGTGGTGGGGCCACCACCCCATCCGGCTCCACCGGCCTCTGCGTCATCGTTGCCGCACGGCCCTGGCCTGCGGGCTCACCCACGACGTGGCGGCCCTCTTTGGCGACCACCTGGTGCGTTTGGTGGTCGTACCACCTTTGGTGTCGCCACCAGCATTACGACGCTGCTCACCAACATGCACACACCTGCGCCGTGTCGTGTCGTGGGTGCCCACAACAGATTCACATCCCTGCCCCCGTCCAGATGACACACAGCCGAGTCGACTCCTACGAGCGTCCGCCGACGCCCTACTTCACGTGCCTGACCGGCGTCTACACGTGACCAACGCTCCATCGCAGACTCTGTTGTGTTGTGTTGTGTGCGTCTCGACGGCAAGCAAGACAACAATAGGTACATTGGCCGACGAACCGCAGCTACACTCATTGCGCGGGCGTGGCATCGGTCGATGCGTCGTCGCTGCCGGTGGTGGTACTGGTCGCGTCGTTGGCGGCCGGTGCGGCGGCGGTCTGATCCTCCGCGGGCGCGCGGGCGCGATGGCGAGGGCTTCCACGCCTGGGCAAAGAACGAAAAGAAAACGAAAGAGAAAGGCTGAGAGTCAGGGCGAGTCCCAGGTGACACTGCGAGGCGAGGGTACCGCTGGCCAGCTGGGAGACCTCCGCCTCGGCATTCGCGGCGTTGGCGTCGACATTCGCGGCGTTGGGGGTCGGCGGCGGCGGAGCCACGGGGGCCGCGCCCTTGGCGGTCTTCTTGCCCTTACCCTGCACACGCGCACCCGATGAGACGCAGCGGTCGGGCGAAGAACGAATGCTCTCTCGTGCCACAGCGAAACCACGAAACGCACCTTCTCCGCCTCGCCCTCGTCATCGCTGTCGTCGTCGTCATCGTCATCATCGCTGTCATCGTCGTCGCTGGACGACGAGTCCTTGCCCTCGACCATGGGCGGCACCTCGCGCTCTTCGCCCGGCTGCATGGGCAACAGCTCGTAGGGCGCCCCGGGCAGCGGGAAGTAGAGCGGAATCAGCTGCTCATAGCACAGACGCTCCTGCACACGACACGCACGACACACACGGCACACACGACAGACAGTGAGTCAACCATGGAGGAAAGGCGCGAGCTTCAACACCACCACCACCAACAACAGCGAACCTTGTCCAGGAAGACGCAGAAGATGATGCTGTCGAACTTGGTCCGGTTGTCGCCCTCCTCGAGCCAGCGGCGCACCGTCTTGAGCGCGATGTGCGACGCCTCGTAGAGCGGATACCCGTAGATGCCCGTCGAGATACCGCAAAACGCCTTGTTAAGGTGGCGCATGACGCAGGCGTGAGTGCCACGACACGACACGCAACACGACACGACACGCGCGGCGGGAGGAGCGGCGTACGAGGGACCGGGCGCCGTTGGCGACGGCCACGCGGAGGCAGTTGAGGTAGCAGCTGCGGAGGGCGACGGGGTGCTCGCCGATGGGACCCACCGTGTGGATCACATACTTGGCCGGCAGCGAGTAGCCCCGCGTGATCTTGCAGTGGCCCGTCGCACACCCTATCGTAGCAGCAAGCACACGCACATGATGAGCACGTGTGTGTCGTGCGTGTCGTGTCGTGTGTGTGTCGTGTGTTGTGTGCTGTGTCTCACACTCACCGTTGAGCTGCTTGCACTCGTTGTAGAGGTCGTCGCCGGCAGCCCTGTGGATGGCGCCGTCGATGCCGCCACCGCCGAGCATCGATCTGGCCCGCGCGCGATGATGGGTAAGACACAGGGCAAGTCAGTGGTGGGTGGGTAGTGTGGCGTACCGGTTGGCGGCGTTGACGATGGCGTCGATCTCCAGGTGGGTGATGTCGCCGCGCCACATGGTCACGATCCGGTTGATCTCCTCGTCCGGCGCAAAGTGGGCCGTCGGCGGCGGCGCCTGCTCCTCCACCTCCTCGTCCGCGTCCGGGTCCGGCAGCTCGGCGAAGACCGGCTCCTCTTCGGACGACGACAGCTCCGACTCCTCATCGGACGACGTCACGTCCTCATCATCATCGTCGTCGTCGTCTACATCATCGTCATCATCATCACTGTCCTCCTTCTTCTCTTCTTCTACAGTCTCCTCTTCCGCCTTCTTCTCCACCACTTCTCCTTCTTGTTGTTGTTCTACGTTTTTCTCATCTTCTACTTTTTCTTGTTCTACTTGCTGCTGCTTCGAGGCCTCACCTTCTTCTTCTTCTACGTTCTTCTTGTTCGCTTCATCTTCTTGCTTCTGCTGCTTCTCCTCCAGCTTGGCCTGGCGCCTGGCCTGGCGTGCGGCCTTGCGTTCGCGGGCAGCCTCGAGGCGCTGGCGCTTGGCCTCGTGTTGGGCGCATCGACGACGGTAGGCCTCGCGCTGCTGGGCGATCCATCGATGGGCGGCCTCGATTTTCTCGCGGCGCTCCTGGCGGAGGCGCTGGGCGATGCCCTGACGATAGATGGGCCAGCTGGGGATGTCCTCGAGGGTCACGAACCGGTCGCGGCAGCGGTAGCGTCGGCGGCGCTCGTCAATCGATTTGGCCTCCTCATTGGCCCACATCTGCTCGCGCGGCACGAGCGGCTCGCGACGCGTCCAGTACGAGTAGCCGTGAATGCTCATCTTGTCTTTGTCTCTCTTCAGGCGAATAAAATAATCGAACTCGAATTCGATAAAGTTTCGATTCTACTCGCACGTAACGACACAAAAATAAGGATAAATAAGAGCTACTAGGGAAAACATCACAAACAAATAAGTGCAAGAACGTGCAAGGTACCTTTGTGCACGAGGATGACAAAAGATCTGCAGCCGGAAGTGATCGGTTGTCGATTGAACGCTTTGTTCACTTTTATTGAGTTCGGTGAATCCAACTTTTAGGCCGAATTCCAGGCGTGCCGCGAAACATTTCCCTTTCCTTTTCCTGTCATCCATTTTCCTTTTGGTAAAAGAAAAGATGATAACTTTCAATATTACATTTTAAAAGTGTTACCACCCAACAACAGTGACACCCACCTGCGAACCAACATCTACATAGATGGATGACCCGAAACTACAAAATAAACCACACCTCCCACAACAACAGCTTATGGACCTGCCGCACGAGGTGCTACTGAAACTCCTGGCGGCCCTCCCCGTGGCTGACCTGGGGCGGGTCGAGCAAACCTGCCGCCTGCTCCGCGCCCTGAGCCACGAGAACCTCGTCTGGCGGGCCAAGGCCCGCGAGCGCTGGTCGTCGGCGCCCCCCTCCGCCTCCGCCGCCACCGGTGTCGTCGGGGCCTTTCGGCGGCCCGTCCACCACCTGCGGAGCTGGCGGCGCTACTTCCACTACAAGACCCTCCTACACTCTCCCGGTTCGTGTCGCACACACCACGCGCGTGTGTGTCGTGTGTTGCTGACGTCATGCGTGTGCGGTGCGTGTGCGGTGCAGGGGCGTTGGAGTGGCACAAGATGGAGAGGGAGGAGGAGAGTGTGCAGGCGCGATGCGCGCACACGGGCTGCGTGGTGGGCGATCGGGTGTACTTTATCGGCGGGCAGGACAGCCGCGACCGCCGTCTGGGCGAGATCCACTGCTACGATCCACGTACTCTCTCGAATCCCGCACACGCTCCTCCACACACACACCACACCACACACCAACACACAACACACAAACACACACACACACACGCAACACACAACACACAAAAGCACTCACACTATGGCACACGCATGGCCGCACACACACGCATGGCCGCACGTACAGGGCACAACAAGTGGGAAGCGCTGGAGGTGCCGCAGGTGCCCAACTTTGCGCGCCACCAGGCGGTGGCTGTCGACGATCGGATCTTCTGCTTCGGCGGCTACGACCTCGAGCGCTTCTACGAACTCGCCATGTTCGTCCCCGGTAACGTCACCCTATTATTTATTGATTGATTTATTTCAATGATTTAATCGTTTGATTTCTTTTATTATAATCAATTGGATTTGTTATTCATTTTAATAAATACGACGTAGCGACGGGGAGCTGGACGTATCCGGAGGTGACGGGCGACCGGCCGCCGCCTCGGTCGAACCACGCGAGCGCGGTGATCGGCACCCGGTTCTACATTTTCGGCGGATCCGTAGGCGACAACGTCAACCGCTACGAGACCGTCAACGACTTTTACTGCTGCGATGTCGGTACCGCACGCACACACCGCACACACCACCGCACACGCACACACCAGTGGTCAGTGGTTGATGGGTGCAATTCCTCTGCGCAGCCACGTTTCGGTGGACCAAGCTCGAGGCCAAGAACGCGCCGTCGAATCGGGTGGGCCACAAGATGATCGCCGTGTGCGGCAAGATCTACCTCTTCGGCGGCGGCGTGTGGTCGTCGCAGCACGGGTGGACCGAGCAGTACAATGAAACCTGGCTCTACAGCCCTGGTACCGCACACACGCACGCACGCACGCACACGTGCACCACCGCACACACCGCACACGCACGCGCTGAAACGGGTGTGTGTCGTGTGCGAGCGCACAGAGGAGAACGAGTGGACGGAGGTGAAGGTGGCGGTGCGGCCGCCCGTGTGCACGTACACCTACATCTTCTCGTTCGGGACGCACATCGCCGTCTACGGCGGAGCGAGCATCACCGGCCACAGCGTGCAGAAGGAGCTCTGGCTCTTTGACACCATCGCCCAAACGTACGGACCTGCACGACACAACACACACCCAACACGCACGACACACACCCGCGACACAACACGCACGACACCCGCGACACAACACGACACGCGCAGAAAACTAAGGTTCGAGCCTGGCCTGTACGCCACAGGTGGGACAAGATGGAGGTGGCGGGGGAGGAGGAGCCGTCGTCGCGGAGCATGGGCAGTTCGGACCGGGTCGGGAACAGCGTGTTCTTCTGGGGCGGCTACAGCGGGGGCGTGCTCCCCTTCGCCAACGACTTCTACCGCCTCGACATCTCCCGCGCCATCGACCTCGCCCAGCCGCTCTTCCGCGACACCGACCACCACGGAAGCCCGTGAACGCTCGCGACAAAAATATACACAAAAATATATTCTACATTTGGCGAGAGCTCGACCATCACAGCCTGTAGCACTCCAGCAACTTGCTGCGTTGGGCGGGCTTTTGATGGGTGGCACAGATGAACATTGTGGGGAATGTAGCCATGTTTGTTGAGATGTGAGTGTGTATGTACACCGGGGTGTCTTGCTTCAAAAAAAGATGACAAAATATGAACAAAAAGAGAGATCGCGGAGGGGAGAGAGTGTCTCGTCCCTGCTGCCTGCGTGGTGGAGATCCGCTTGAGCAAGGGAATAAAAAAACTAAAGCGAACAGAGAAGAGAATAATCACAAAATAATAAACAACATAAATAAATCAAATAAAAAACTAAAAAAAGGGGGCTGTGCAGTGGCGGGAGTCGGCTGCTCACAGGAGCGAGAGGAAGAAGGTCTCGATCTTGTAGAAGGAGTAGCACGTGAGGAGGAAGAAGACGATGGTCAGGGTGAGGTGCTTGCCGTTCCACAACGACATGCCCATGCTCCTGTCCCCCGAGATCGCCACCCGCTGGAACGTCTCATCGCTCCACTTGCCTGCACGTGTGCGTGTGCGTGTGCATGTGCGTGTGCGTGTGCGTGTGCGTGTGGTGTGTGTGGTGGTGTGGTGTGTGTGTGGTGTGCGTGTGCGCGTGAATATGCAGCGGAGGTGAATGGAAAGAACGGATGGCGGGGAATACCATAATAGAAGAGGGAGACGCTGGGGCAATCGTTGTCGGAAGCGGTGGCAAAGGCGCGCGAGAGGTAGTAGTCGACCATGGTGTCGTTCGGCTGCAGCGGCCACTCAGACACTGCGTAGTCGGACGTCACACTGAACACCGGGATCACCTTGGCCTAGAACCATGATATTAATATATTAATATATTAGAAATAGAAGTATCTAATATTTTCTAAAGAATATATAAATATAAATGCATGGCGCAAACATGCAACACAGCAGCACAAACCTTGGTGAGGTGGTTGGCGTAGAAGATGGTCTGGTTCACCCAATCGTAGAAGTTGTCTGCTGTGGCCCAGTCTTGCCAGTAAACCTGTGCACACATCGTGAGTCGTGTGCGCGTGCGGCGTAGAAGGAAGTGGTGGGTACCATGGGCATGATCTTGATCCAGTTGTCGGTGTACTGCGAGTAGTCGTTGCCCGACTGCGTGTTGCCGTAGTAGCCGTCGGCGCTGGCGGCGAAGGGCAGGACGTAGGCGCCCACGTCGAGGCTGGAGTCGATGTCCGACACCGTCTTGACCACCTCCTTCAGGAACGACGTGATTTGCGCCGCCCGGAAGTCCACCTGCACACACCACCGCACACGCACACGCACCACCGCACGCACGCACCACCGCACACGCATACAACGTAAGACGAGAGCGTGTCGGTGAGTGTGGGGGGGGGCGAGTTTGAGGGAAAGGCCGTACCCACTTGTCCCAGTTGGTGTAGTCTGAGTCGGACTGGATGGTGTTGGGGTCGACGCCGAATTCGCTCTTGAACACGCCGCGCGTGTAGTTGCTCAGGTCCGAGAAGTCGGAATCGAAACGAATAACTGGTTACGTCGAACGAAAAGAAGGCGAAGGCGAGGGAGGAGGTGGTGAGCTGATGATCAGATGATTCACTTCACAGTGAATCATTGGCGGCGGCGGCGGCGGCGTGCGTACAATCCAGGCGAACGCCGTCAAAGTCGAACTTGTTCAGCACTTCGCTTATGAGGTCCTGCTCGTGCGCTCGCACCGCGGGGTTGACCGGGCTCACAAACTGGTAGTGCGCGTGCGTGTGCGGTCAGCGAAAAGGGAGTGGGAGAGGCATGCAGCCACGCACGCAGCACGCGCGTGCAAACAGACACGCCATCTTGATCAAGAAGACGGAGGTCGTACGAGCTGGCTCATCTCCAGGGCAGCGTTGCTGTTCTCCTTCTGCATCGTGGCCAGCTCGTAGTCCGCCCTGCGCAGGGAAAGCGCGAGCGTGAAAGCGTGTGCGGTGAGAACTCAGAGGGGGGGACTGCTAAAAGAAGCGAATGGGGGAGGCGGTACTGTGCGAGAACGGGGTCCTTGAACATGGGCAGCCAGGCATACACCTTCAGCCCGCTTTGGCTGCGGAGGCGACAAATCAGTAATTAATGGCCAAAGAGATTTCGGTTTTGGCATGTCCGAGGGGGGGGGCGGTACTGTGCGGTGGAAAGGAGGTATTTGATGAGGGAGTCGTAATCGAGGCCGGCAGAGGCGTTGTATGATCGGGTGGAGGGCACGGTGCTGCCCGTGTAGTAGAGCAGCCCCGACTCATCGTCCTTCATAAGCACCGAAATGCCTTTACACCATTATCGAACAAAATCAATTAATTCTATTTCTAATTGAAATGGCGAAAAGAATAAGTACAAAAGAAAGTACCTTCAATGTGCGTTCGAAGAGCCTGAGAGATCATAAAGTCGATGTCGGCTTCGCTCTGAATGGCGTCACCCGTTCGCACGATCATCTCCAGGAATCGAACCGACGAGGCAGGGGTAATGAAAAAGGCCACGAGCGCCACCATCATGATGCAGCAGCAAAGTGCCGTTACGCCCGCACGACGCTGCCCCATTTTCTATGTATGTTGGAGGCCTCCCCCCGTTCGATTAGGCGTTCGATAGCAGAAGTTCGCGATCTGGCGCGCCAGCAATACAGTTGCCGTCGTGAAGAAATGTGCCGACCGGATATTTTGCTTTCTTTTTATATTTTGAACCGCAAAAACCAAAGAATTCAAAGCAGGCAGCCGAGGCATGCAAGGCATTCCTGTAGTTTTCTCCGTTCGGCTTTGCAGCTCGTTTGGGCGGCCAGTGGCGTTGTGTGGAAATTACACCCACCAACAAGAAGAAACGGTCCCTGCTGCATGGCCTACTGCAGGGTTGGCATTGAAGAAGAGGTGCACACCCTTCAATGTGAATGTCACCCTTGCTAACAGCTCTCGACTTGTTCTGTTGTGACGTGAGCAGTTCGGCGATACCAAATGCAAAAAGAGAAATTAAATGAAAAGCAAAAAGGAAACTTAATTACCCAGAAGAGGGGAGGGACAGGTCCCCCAACAGCGACCAACAGCTTGCGACAGGAAGGGCTGCCAACCGCGACCCAACGACTAGTCGTGGCAGAGCAAGAAAGGCGCTATCTTGAGGCGCTCATCGCAAAGCTCGCCATGGAAAACGACGACGATTCGTCAACGATCAGTCATTCGGGCGTTGCCAATTCATCGGGTGATGGAGCAAAGGCCAAGAGGCCGAGAGCCAGCAAATCGCTGCTCGTCTCGTTCAAACCGGGCAGTAGCAGAGACGTGCATCGAGGCACCTCTACCGATTCGAGCCTCTACTCGGCGACAACTGGCACCTCTGCGTCATCTTTGGCCAATCGGCAGCAACAGCAGCGAGTAGCGGCGCCATCTCTGCCTTATTCCTCGTCCACGTCTTCCCTTTCGTCTCTTCAGCACCAGCCGTCTTCGCCCTCGGTACGCGATCGTTCGCCTTCCTTCTCGTCCGGCAGCCAACGCGAACATACGCTACGCCGCAGCCGATCCAATTCGAACATCACCAGCTGCATCCCTGCAGCCTCGCGCCAAGAGGATTGGATTTGGAAGCGACCTCCGCCTCTTCGGCTTCCTCCTCTACATTGGCCGCCGCGGCCAAGGGCGGCGACGCGGCCGCCCGCAACCAGTTGCTCCTGGCCTCCCTCATCGACCCACCGCCCGAGGACGAAGAGGAGATGGTCTTCCTGCCACACGAGAAGCCCTCTTCTCGCCCCGGGGTACGTCTTGTTGCCTCCTCTGCTCTCTTTTGTAGCCAACTGTGGGCACGTTCTTGGTGACGACGATGATGCTCTCCTCGAGCGCTGGCGTCCGCCTGACGATGGTGATGGTGGTGATGATGTGTTTTTCCCCCAAGGGCGCGTCGGCACGTCCGTCGCCGGGCTCGTCGCTGGAGGCGATCGCCAAGGACAGGCACTATGCCAAAGGCGAGAAGGTGCCGTTCGACGAGGACCGCGAACACGAATTCAAGCAACTCCACAATGGTGCCGCCACCGTGTTTTCACCCAAACAGCACTCCTTGCAGCCGTTTCGCTCACATGTCCGCACGCACACGCGCGGCACACGCACACGACGCAACACACACACACACACACACACTCGCAGTCGACAAGCCGGTGAAGAGGATCGCAGACTACTGTGGAAAGTATATTAACGCCTTCCTCAACACCAACGGCGGCGTGTGCTACTTCGGCATCGACGACGATGGCGTAGTCTACGGCGTTCATCTTTCCCGGTCGGACAGGGACGCAATTCGTCTTCACGTGGACGGCATCGTCGAGTCATTTTGGCCCGCGGTCGACACGCGCACGTGTGCCATCGTGTTTGTGCCCGTGGCCGATCCCTGGTACGCTGCCGGCCACTCCACACTCATTCACTAGCGGCTGGCGGGCTTTTTATTTACACATTTTCATTTGTACGTTTCACCGTTGTTGTGCACAGCCCCAAGGACACGTTCGTGATGGAGCTGCACGTGTCCAAGGGTACGGCGCCGGTGTATCTGATGAGCAAGAACAAGCCCACGGCCTACATGCGACGCTCGGGGAGCATCTACCAGATGTCCATGGAGATGATCCTCCAGCGCATGAACTTCACCATGGGCTCCTCCGGCTCCGTGTTCCAGCCGCTCCAGAGTACACGCCTTCGGATGATTGCCTTTCACTTAATCAACTGGCGCCCCTTGGGCTAACCCTTCTTCTTCTTCTTCTTCTTCTTCTTCCTTCTTCTTCTTCTCTTCTTCTTCTTCTTCTTCTCGTTACAGATACGCTGACGTACAAGCTGGGGAATGTGCCCAGGAATTTTGTGGGTCGTCAGACCGAGCTGGAAGAGATACTCGACCAGGTCGAGGGCAGCGAAGACCACGTCAAGGTGGTCTCCCTCTACGGCCAAGGCGGCGTGGGCAAGACCACGCTCTCCAGGTGTGTGTGTGTGTGGTGTCGTGTGTGTGGTGTCGTGTCGTGTGTGTGTGGTGTTTGCTTGTGCCCACTTAGTAACGTTTTATTCAATTATTTTATCTGTACAGGCGCATCGCTGCGGCTATGGCTTCGGCCTATCCCGATGGTCAGTTCTGCATTCAACTGAACGGTTCCACGCCAAACCCCATCAAGGTGCGCCGCCGCTGACCTGCGATTTTTTGTCGTCGTCATCGTCTCTGCTGCTGTTTGCTCGCCGGTATGAGACAAAATGTTGACACGTAACGTTTTCCAGACCTACGACGCCATGCTCTACGCGATCCGAGCATTTCATCCCTCGATCACCATGCCCTCTTCGCCGACCGAGGTCGAGGGCTACTACCTGTCCTGCTTCAACCAAAAGCGCTCCGTGCTGCTTCTGGACGACGCCGGAAGCAAAGAGCAGGTACGCCCCGGGTTGCTCTCATGCGGCGGCTCGTACCCGCGCATTTGCCTGAATCATCGATTTGCCTGACATGTGTGTGCTGTGCTGATTTCAGGTGCTGTCGCTGCTCCCGAAATCGACGTGTCTGGTGATCGTCACATCGCGTCGGAGCCTGGGCCTCGATGTAGAGATTGGGGCCGTGTGCGTGAAGAAGCTCGGCAAGCTGTCGCTGCCCGAGGCCATCGCCATGGTGCAGCAGATGACCCGCGGCAAGGTCACCGAAGAGCAGGCGGCGCAGCTGGCCCAGCTGTGCGGCTACCTGCCGCTGGCCGTGCAGGTGGTGAGCGCCACCCTGGCCAAGCAGTCCAACCTCCGGCCGGAGGCCATGATCCAGCGACTAACCGAAAACAAGGTACCCAATTTTTTATATTATTTTATTTTACACAATAATATTTAAAGCATATTTCTTTATTTTAAATCGGTTTTTTTAATGGATATGTAGAATATGAGCTGACGTCTTGTTTTCTGGTGGCTGCAGGGTGAGATCTTGCGACTGGAGGGCAACACGCTCGAGCTGTGCATCAAGGCCTCGTTCGAGTTGCTGTCGCCGCGCCTGCAGCACCTCTTCCTGCCGCTCTCCATCTTCCCCGGCAGCTTTGACGAGGAGGCCGCGGCGCACGTGCTGGACGTGGACGCGCAGACCGCGCAGGAGGCCCTGTCCGAGTTCCTCACCAACAGCTTGCTGGAGCACAACCCGGTGACGTGGCGCTATCACCTCCACTTCACCGTCCGCGTCTTCTCCACCGTGCTTGCCCAGAAAATCGAACAAGAACAATCACCAACCGCCAAATCAGGTGCGCCCGCCTCCCGTGCGTGCGTGTGTGTGTGTGTCATGCGTCGTGTGTCTCATGTGCGTGACATATAGATATGGGCAGCAGCGGCGAGGTGCTGGCGGGACTGGGCGACGAGATGGTGGTGAAGTTTGCGCTGTGGAAGGAGCGCTTCGTGCTGCACTACCACGACCTCATAAAGCGGTTCCAGACTCTCTACAAGCGCGGCGGTGACTACATCCTCTCCGGCCTCGAGCTCTTCGATCAGAACAAGCACAATTTCGAAGAGGCCATGCGACTCTCCATCACAGAACTGGTAAGCAGCTGTTATTTTTTTATTCTTTTATTTATTGTTTTTGATAATCACGTTTATAAGTGTTTATATGTTATTGCTGAATTTTAATATTACATATTAATCCTACCGCGTGTGAGCAGAAACGATACAGCCTCTTCTGCTCGTTCGCGAGGGCGGGGCAGGACATCTTCCGCGCCCGCTTCAATCAGTCGAAGCTCATGGAGCTCTACCGCGACTTCCTCACCGCCGCCAAGCCCGAGTTGATCGTGACCCACCGCCGGGGCCGGGGCCGCGGAGTCGCAGGTCCTCGCGGCCGCAGCGGGCAGGCCGTGCTCAGCAAGGCGGTCAACGCCGAGGACGATGACCAAGAACAGGAGCAGGACTATCAGGACATCGACGACGCCGACTATGTGAGCGCCAGCCCCAACGCGACGGGCGGCAAGACGTCGCGCCGGGCCTCGCTCAGCACCGGCGCCGCCGCCGCCGCCGCAGCTGCCGCCGGCGAGAACTCGAGCGAAAGCGAAAGCGAGCTGGTCGAAGACGACGACCTCGTGTTCGTGCTGAACGAGCTCGGCCAGGCCTTCGCCGCGCAGGGCCAGTACCACACGGCCGAGGCCTACTATCATCACGCCCTCCGCATCTCCGAAAAGCACTCGGCCAGCAACGGCGCGGCGGACGACGCCACTGCCACTGCCTTCAGTGCCGCTGGACCGTCGGCCGACGATATTGGGAGCGCCACCGGCGACGCAGTGGAGACCACGCCGGCGGCGACGACCTGCGAGTCCGCGCCCATTCCGATCCCGCGGGCCAATTCGGACTTTGCGTCGACGGCGTCGTCATCGGCCGCATCGGCGTCGCCGCCGCTCGGGCGGGCCGCCGGTTCGTGGTTGGCCCCCGCGTTGGCGTCGCCGATCTCACTGGCAACTGAGCACGAGACCAAACGCTGGAGACGCAACCTGGCCACCACACTCCACAACCTGGGCAAACTCTACGGCGAACAGTGCAGGTTAGTTTGCCTGTGTGTGTGTGCGTGTGCGTGTGCGGTTGTGTGGTGCGCGTGTGCTGCATTTAATGACATGTCTCCTGTGCAGCTACACTGCGGCAGTCGAGCACCTGCAGCGAGCACTGGACCTGCGGCAGCTGATGTGCGGCCGCGATGTCAGCGAGGGGCGAAAACCGCGCGGACAGGAGACCGAAGGCAAGAAGCGCATGCGCCGGGGCATGGAAGACCGGGAGATGGTCGGCGAGAGCATGCTCGCCCTGGGCGCCTGCTACACCCAGCTCGGTACCTATCTTTTTTTAAGTATTCTTTTCTTGGTATTTATAAGAACAATATTTACTATTCATGCCTTTGTTATTTATGTCTTTGTTATTTCATTTGGCCAAATATAATAACCTTATTATTGGCAGGCAAGTACGATGAAGCGGAGCGACAGTTCAAGGCGGTGCTGAGCCTGTACCGGCCGACCACGTCGTCGCCGCTCATCAACGCCATCACGCGCCTGTCGCCGCCCAGCGAGCTGATCTCGGGCTCGTCCCTCGCGTCGACGCCGCCGTCCCTCGCGTCCGTCATGGCGGCCGGCCTGCCCGCCAACCTCGACCAAGAGATCGAGGTCGACGAGGAAATGGAGCGACAGCGACTACGCGACGAGCTCAAGCTCAGCAAACTCGGCTCCACTGACTCTCACGGCCTGCAGGTGCGTGTCGTGTGCCGTGAGTGTCGTGTGTGTCATGTGTGTCGTGTGTGTAGTTGGTGCTGATGGCTGTGGTCAGGTGGCGGCGTGCTTGGACCACCTGGGCGCGCTCCTGACGATCCGCGGCAAGTACATGGAGGCCTTCTCGCTCCACTCGACCTCGCTCGGCATGAAGCAGAAGCTTCTGGGCTCGAGGTATGCCCGTCTCCATTCCACCACTCCCCCCGACTGCCAAACGTGTTGCATTAACTTACATTCCTGTGCGCGTGCGTGGCAGTCATTTGGAGGTCGCCCGTACCCGCCACTATCTGGCCAAGGTGCTCGGGCTCGCCGGTAGATACAAGGAAGCGATTCAGGTAACGCACGACACGCACACGCACGACACGCACACGCACGACACGCACACGTCGGTAACTGACTATACCTGGTGCATATGGAATAGGAATACGAGGTGTCGCTCCGCATCAGGGAAGACTGCCTTGGGCCGAGCCACCCCCTCGTGGCCAATTCCCTCCGTCACATCGCCTTCCTCCATTTCTACACCGGCGAATACGCGCAAGCCGAGGTATGCTTGCTTCCACCGCCTCTCAACCAACCAACCAACCAACCAACCAACCAACCAACCAACCGTTTCTCTCGCTGGGTGATGCAGAAAATGTATGCCAAGGCACTCAAGATGCTGAAGGACGTGTTCGATCGTCCGCACCTCGAAGTCGCCATCGGTACACCACCGAGCCCTGCGCATGTAGCACACATTTGGCCAATGCGCTGACGACACGACACGACACGACACGACACGACACGACACGACACACGACACACGACACACGACACACGACACACGACACACGACACACGACACATGCTTGACATCCATGGCAATGTAGTGCTGAACGATCTGGGCCTTATCTACAACCACCAGTCGCGCTACGCCAAGAGCCAGCCGCTGCTGCGACACTCGCTCGCCATCCGCAAGAAGCTGCTGGGCAAGCGCCACCCGTACATCGCCGTCGTGTTCAACAACCTGGGCAACATGTACCGCAAGCAGCGCAACTACGAGAGCGCCGAGAAGTACCTCCTGAAGGCCCTCGCCATCCGCGAGAACTGCTTCGGCAAGGAGCACCCCGAGGTCGCCCGAAGCCTCCACAACATCGCCGCCCTGCGGGTACCTTCTTCGCTTCTTTCTCCTTCTCTTTCGCCTTCGTTTTCGTTCTTTGTTACAATGGACGCTTACCTGTGTGTCGTGTGTCGTGTGCGGTGCTGTGCGCGGTGAGCGCAGATGGCTCAGAAGAGGTACCCGGAGGCGCAGGCGCTGTTCCAGCGGTCGTTGGAGGTTCGGTCGAAGGTGCTGGGCCACTTCCACCCGGAGCTCTCGGCCGTCCACAACGCCATCGGCAACCTCCACGAGTGCCAGAAGGACCTCACCGGGGCCATCGCTCACTACAACGTCGCCCTGCAGCTCAATCGCAAGGTGCCACTCTTCGCCTCTGTATTTTATTATTCGCTTCTTTTTTTTTGTGGGTTGTTTGTTTTGGCTTTTTTATGTTTTTTTTTCCAGTTTTTAAGTGCGTCCTGTCTGACACGTCTCGGCGCAGGCATTTGGAGACTACCACCCGTCGATATCCACCAACTACTACAAGCTGGGCAACTGCTACCGCCTCATGAAAAGGTTTGCTCACACGACACACACGACACACACGACACACACGACACACACGACACACACGACACACACGACACACACGACACACACGACACACACGACACACACGACACACACGACACACACGACACACACGACACACACGACACACACGACACACACGACACACACGACACACACGACACACACGACACACACGACACACACGACACACACGACACACACGACACACACGACACACACGACACACACGACACACACGACACACACGTACCCCACGCACTAATCGTGGAGTCTGCTCTCGCGCATGGCCTGCCAGGTACGCCGAGGCGGAGCCGATGCTGCAGGCGTCGCGTGATGTGTGCTTCCGCTGCTTCGGCGAGGAGGAGGACCACACCAACGGCGGCGGCCTGGGCCAACCATCGCGGGTCTCGCGCGACCACCGCATCACCCCCGGCCACGAGCGCATCCTCCAAAGCGACGTATGTCGCCTCCTCCCCCCCCCATTAGTACCGGTTTGCATTCGCTTCTTTACGTTCCATGATTGACGCGTGTGCTGTGTGCGGTGGCGCGTGTGCGGTGGGCGCGTGTGTCGTCGACAACAGGACACGCTGCAAAAGTTCTACAAGGAGTGGGCCGAGTACATCGTTTTGCAGTCGCGCGAGAAGCGACGGCTCGAGGACAAGGCCGCCGCCGCCGCAGCCTCCGACGCCTCTGCGTCGCAGGCATCCCCGCCCGCTGCAGTCGATGACGAGGCCGCCGCCGCCGCCGAAGCCGAGGCCGACCGCCAGCGCCTCAAGGAGGCCCGCAGGCGGCGCCGCGAGCGCCGCCGGCAGATGAAGCGCGAGGGCACCTGGGTCGAGGGCCAGGAGCTGGACGATGAGGCCGACTGGTACTACGCCGCGCAGGACGCGGAGGAGGCCAAGGAGGACGAGAAGTTCAAGCGGTGCATCGAGGTGCTGAAGCGCATGGGCCGCGAGGAGGACCTGGCCGAGGTCATGCGCATCGAGCAGCGGCTCCACAAGCTGCGCGAGCACCGGCGCCAGCGGCTCGAGAAGGAGCGCACCGAGCGCGACGCACAGCGCAAGGCCAGTGGTGGCGGCGATGCGAAGGCCAAGGCCGAGCGCTACAGCGAGAGCGAGAGCGAAAGCGACACGAGCGAGGGCGAGGCCGCGGCCAAAAAGAAAGCGGAGGAGGTGAACAAAGCGACGGCAGAGACGGCGGACAAACACGCGGGCAAGGTGAAGCTGAAGAAGCTGACCAAGAACCAGAGGAAGCAGCTCATGGCCCTGAAGCTGGCCGCCAAGGCAGGTGGGGCCGGCGGCGAAGCGAAGCTGAAGCCACCAGCGAGCACGCCCAGCACAAGAAGCGAAAATGGAACGACGAGCAGCAGCCGACCGATCGAGCAGAATACGGGGCGGGGCCGCACCAGCACCACCACCGCCAGCAGCAGCAGCAGCAGCACGCAGTGGTGGTCATCACGGTGCGCCATCTGGTGGCCCTCGTGCTGGCCCTCGTAACGCTCCCCGTCTCCCTCCTTGCCCTCTACCTCTACTTCATCTCCTCCTAATAAGCAAGACTTTTTTTAAATTATCACTAATTGACCACCAAACCAGCTCCAACCGTTCAAGCTTCTTCTTTGTTTGGTGCGAAAGCTGGACATCACAAGACAAGGTCTCTCTCTCTCTCTCTTGTTCATCAGATGAAGAGCAGCTCCTGTTCGCTCAACAGGTTGGCCCAGCAGCCGCGGTAGAGCCCCTGTTGTGAAATGCACGCACGAGTGAGGCCACGCTCGCTGGAGAGAGAGAGAGAGAGGGGGGCTTTGGGCACCTTGAGGCCTTCGGCGGCCCACACCTTCCTGGCGCAGTCGACCACGCCGGAATACTGCGTCGGGTAGACCACCATCTGCGTGGTGAGCACATCGAGCGGAACGTAGAGCAGGCACGCCAACGCCGTCCTGCGTGCGTGTGCGGTGTCGTGTGCGTGTGCGGTCACGTGAGCAACTCTTTCAAAACAAAACAAAAGCAAAGCAAAAGCAAAACAATTCAGCAATTTTAATAAACAAAAGATGGGAGGTGCGTACGAGGTGAAGGAGAGGCCGTATTTGATGAAGCGCTTGGCCGAGAAGAGGGAGCTGTTCTCCGCCTCCCACTCGTCCTCGTTCTCCTCGTCCTCCTCGGGCACCAGCTGGAGGTAGTGGTAGAGCTTGGTCTCCAGGAACGGCGCCAGATCGATGATGCTGTACTTGGCCACGTTCAGCGCCTGCCACCGCCGCACTCACCGTCAGGCTCACAAACACACGCACATCGCACACACCACCGCACACACACACACACCGCACACATCACCGCACACGCACACCGCACACACGCGCGAGAGGGGCGTACGAGGGCGTTCCAGAAGCCGTTGCGATTGTAGGCGAGGTCGCGGAAGAACTGGCCGGTGCCCGGCCACCGGTGGGTGGCCAGGAGGATGGGCGCCACCGCGAAGAACGGATAGAAGAACACCCCCGTCAACAGCTTACCTGTCGTGTCGTGTCGTGTCGTGTCGTTGGTCGTGTCGTGTCGTGTCGTGTCGTGTCGTGTCGTGTCGTTGGTCGTGTCGTGAGCGCAAGAGAAAGAAGGGAAGCGAGAGAGAGAAAGAGAGATGGTGTACCAGCGAAGACGGCGAGCTGCTTGCGGGAGACGCCGTAGATGGTGGGCTTCTCGTGCTCGTGCCACTCGTCCACCGTCGGGATGTGCCCCGAATCAAAGTACACTGCGCCGCCGCCACGCATGTCGTGTCGTGTCGTGTTGTCAGCCACACGACACACACGACACACGACACACACACACGCGCACGACACACGACACGCGCGTACTGCTGACACCGCCGGAGAAGAGGCCGGCCACGACCTCGGACATGCCGATGAAGGCGCTGGTGCCCAGCACGTACTTCCACGAGTCGGCCGACGAAGACGAAGGCGAGATGAGGGACTTGACCTCGTGGGCGAGCGAGTGCTGCGGGTGGCCCAGCGGGCGGGCGGCCTGGCGTAGCGAGACGAGCCTGAGGGGCAGATTGAAGGCCAGATTGGCACCAAATTCGCAGGCGATGCGACGGGCGAGGTAGAGCAAGACATCGGTGGTGCCCACATCGCCATCCTCGTAGTCATCGAGTTCCTCATCGAATCCACCGCCGCCGCCGCTGGCCGGGGGCATGAATCCACGACCGCTCAGGCGCTCGCGACGCGAGATGCGACGTTCGCCCGATGCCTGCATGGATGCGGCAGGGCCGCTGGGGGCCGAGGTGGAGAGGCTCGATGCGCGCCTCTGTCTTCGGGGCGCGGTGGGAGATGATGATGAGGATGATGTGGATCCCGACGAATCCGAGTGGGAGGAGGAGAGATTGGGCTGCTCGGCCGCAGCCTCGGCCTCAGCGGCCCTTAACGAATGCGGCGCCTGATATTCGATATCGCTCATTCTCAATTCTGTTGGGGTCGCTTTTGGCAAGTTCGATCCGAAGAAGAAGAAGTAGAAGAAGAAGATCTGTCTGCTCTCGTAATTGAAAAGGCACCAAAACCTGGTGGAGCGACAGATTCGCAGTTCCTGTCCCTCAAAGAAAATGGAGGAAACGAATTCAACCAATAAATAACAAATAACAATAAATCAATCAAATCGTTTAAATTGACAGGACTTAATTATGTTGAAGGATTGATTGATGATCGGCCTCGATCCATCCGAGGCCATTACAAATTATTTTGTAAGTACATGTGATGTGGAGAAGGGGAAGATCGCAATAAGAAAGATGGGCGAGTAGTGGGGGGGGGGGCTAGAGTTGCTCACATGCGAAGATGAGGGCCGGCAAAGGTGGACGAGGCCGAGGCGAGGCGCGACAGGCAGATGATGTTCTGGAGCACGGCGGGCAGGTACTTCTCCTCGTAGAGGTCGCTCACCACGAACAGGTCGGCCTTCCGCATCCCCATGCGCTCGCACGCCGCCAGGTACATCTTGATGTTCTCCTGCTCACGCCACCACCATCGTCATCGTAATCGTAAGCACCATCATCCTCATCAACCCACCACAGCGAATTCATCCAGTGTTGAGGGTGAATGGAGCATGATCATGGGCCGATGCGACAGCGGAACAGGACCAGCTCAAGAAGGAGGTGTTGTCGTCGCCGCCGATGATGATGGTGATGGCAATGGCAATGGTGATGGTGAAGATGGTGATGGCGTACCTGTTCCATGAGGGGGATGGGCCGGATGTGGATCTTGGGGATGATGCCCGGCCGGACCTTGTTGGCCACCTCGCACAGCAACCGACCCGACTTGAGGCAATCGAAGAGGCCCGCCACTCCTATTAACACGACACACGACACACGACACGACACGACCAACGACACGACCAACGACACGACCAACGACACGACCAACGACACGACACGACACGACACGACACGACACGACACGACACGACACACGAATGAGAAGATGCTGAATGTCAAGTGGATGGGCACTCCCCGAGTGAGCCTGAGCGTACCGCGGGAGGAGGAGGGCATGAGGACCGAGCCCTTGGTGTTGCCTCGGGCCGCCTTGTAGACCCACACGATGGCCTCCCGCACGGTGTCGGGCTTGAGCTTCTCCTGCGACTTGCGGGCCAGTTCGGCGTCGAGCCCGTAGAGCCGGTGCACGTCCTCGCGCTCCTTGTGCTGCCGGGCTCGCAGCGTGCCCTCTCCTTCGCCGCGCCACGTCTCCTTCGAAGTTGCTGCAAAACAGAGAACTTGCAAATGAGACACAATCGCACGACACGACACGACATGACACGACACAATACAGCACGACACGCAACACGACACACGACCAACGATGAGAGGGGACGGGTACATCGTTGTAGGGTGGGCTTGCCGTGCGGGCTGTTGAGGGCACTGGCCACGTTCTCCTTGCTGCTGCTGCTGCTGTCATCGACCGACGAAGCACTTTCGCCGTTCTCCAATTTTCGCTTCTTCGGCGGCGAACCAGAAGAAGTCGTCGAGGTCGAAGCCGACGCCGGCATGGCCTCGTCGCCCGGCGACAGGCTCTTGCGCTTGGGCGGCGAGGGCATGATGATGAACGACGATGACGGCGAGCCGGGCGCGGGGATCGGGTAGGGCAACACGCAGCCGCGGCCCTTCTTCTCGGCCTGCTCGCGCTCCTCCCGCTCCCGCTTCTCCTTGGCGATGACCTCCAGGAAGGCATCCACGATCTTCCGCTCCTTCAGGCTCGAGTAGGCCAGCACCGTCTCGCACCCGGCGGCCGCCGCCGCCACCGACGCATCGCCACCAGCGTCAGCGATCACTGGCTTCTTCTTTTCGTCCTCCTTCTGCTTCTTTTCCTTTTCCTTGGCCGCCGTGGCCGGCTTCTTCACCACCATCGGCGACGGTTCTCGTCGCCGTCGGGGCTGGGCCTTGTCCTGGGCAGCCGTCGCAGCCGTCGGCGTCGGCTTGGGCGTCGGCGCGGGCGATGGCGATGGCTGACGCGAAGCTGCGGCGGTGGTCCGCGCGCGATGGAGGGCGTCGTGCTGGAGCCGCTCCCGGATGGAGAGGGAGAGGGTGGAGGGCTGCGGGACGGTGACCACCCGCCGCGAGCTCCGCTCCCGGAGCTGCCGCCGGAGATCGGCGGCGGTGGCGACGGCGCCACTGGCCGCGGGCGGCACACGGGAGGAGTTGCGGAGCAGCGACGGGCTGGTGGGCGAGTTCGGGCCGGGCGCCTTGGCGGCGGCCTCCCTGGTCTTGGCGATGTCCAGCCGGGGCACGATCGGGCTACCTTTCTTGCGGCGCGGCGAGGCCGTAGTCGATGTCGACGTCGCTGACGGCGGCGATGACGGCCGGGTGGTTGTAGTGATATCGGCGAGCACTTCGCGACGCGGCGACGACGGCGGCGTGGTGACCCTGTTCCTTCTTCGCTCGCCGACCGACACCGGCGCCGACTGCCGGAGCTCGGAGCTAAGCTGGTCGGTGGTGCTGGTGGTGCTTGTACTGGTGCTGGTGCTCGCACTCGTGTCGGCGGCGGCGTTGTCCGGCTTGGCTCGGGCGACGGAGCCCAGATCGCTCTCGCGCCTTCGGCTCTGCCTCTCCATGCGGCGGCGCTTGATCTTCTCGCGCTCGAGGTCAATCTGCCGCAGCCGCTCCTCCCGCTCGATGATACGGCTGCGTCGGCCGCTCGTCGGCGAGGTGTTGGCCTTGTCGCCAGAAGAGCTCTTCTTCGCCGCCTCCTCCTGGCCACCACGCGACGGCGACGGCGGTGCTGTCACCTTCTGTTCTTCCTCCTCTTCGCCACCATCATCTTTGCCATTCCTCTCTTCGTTGAGCTCCTGCAGTGCGCTGCGCACTATTTCCATGGACACTCGGGCGAAGGAGCGCCGCTCTACGTCGCTCTCGTGATTGCTGCCGAGGTTCACCTGGTTGGAGGCCAAAAACCGACGCTGTGAGCATACCAGCCAATCTGTCGTGTGTGCCGTGTGTCGTGCGTGTCAGAATTCAGAGCGTACCTCGCTCAGCTTGGCTCCAGGCGCGGGAAGGACGGTCTCGGCTTCGGAGAGGCCGCTGCCGAGCGTGAACCAGCTGCCGGATCGGGTGGGGAAGCTGCCCAAGGCTTGTGCGGAGGGTGTCAGCGCCCTGTTGGCAGGGCTGGGCTTCGGCTTCATCTGCAGCTGCTCCGGCTCGTCCACCAGCTGCGTGCGCCGCTCCCCCACCATCACCACCTGCTCCTCAGCCATGATGGCGCTCGCCTGCGTGCGCCGCTCTTCCTCCTCCCCACCTTCATCGTCGTCTGCCATTTCCTCGTGACGCGACCTCTCGAGCTCCTCCCGCAAGTCCTCTGCACATGCGTTGTAGACATCATCATTGTGAGCCACAGGCCAGCGTGGCTATTACGGAAGGGAGCTAGCGTACCGATATCAAAGGCGGCCGTGACGCCGGGCGAGACCTCGTCGGCGAGGTCCATGTGGAAGACGATGGGCTCGTCGTCTTCGGTGACCAGCAGCTCCTGGCACGGCGAGGCCGCTTCTTTCTTGGCCGCAGCTGGCGATGACGATGACGACGTCACGGCGGCCGATGATGAAGGCGACGAGGTGGCAAGCGGGCTCATGCCCAGCTCGCGCGCGCGCTTCTTGAGGTTCTGCTGGGCGAGCGGCAGCGGCTTCTTGCGGACCCGCAGGGCTATCACGTCCTTGCCGTCCATCGTTTGCATCGGCGAAGGTGTGCGGAGCCACGCGTTGCGCGGCGGTTCGAACAGCGAAGGACTGGGCCGGCCGCCGAGCCGCGCGGCGGCGCCTCCAGAGGGCGACGGTGTGGCCGCAACGCTGCCGGGCTTCTTGGTTGCCAGTGGTGATGGAACTGTCTCGTCGTCGAGCGTAGTGCTGGTGTCGGCGAGTTGAACCTCTTTGTCAGATGTGAAGTCGTCGACGTCATCGACGTCCTTCTCCTTCCCCTTGTTGTTGGCCGCCTTGGCCGCTGCGTCGGTGAAGAGCGTCTTTATGATGGATCCACCGCGACGGCCTCGGGTCATTGTGGGAGCGCCTGCAAGCCGCGAAGAAGAACCCGAGGCAATGGATGGACGACCGCGTGGAGATGGAGATGAAGAAGCTGAGGGGGGCAGAGTGGGGGCGAAAGTCGGTGGGAAGATGGATGGGGTTGGCGCGCGAGGAGCTCGAGCTGCTTCTCTGGCCTCCAAGACGATGCGCTGTCTCTTTCGGGTAGCGGTTGAAGTCGTAGGCAGAGAGGGCTGAAGGGGTTTGCCCAGCGAGATCGAGCGATCCACCTCCTCCTTGAGCTCGCGAAGCCAGAGAAACTCGTAATCCATCCGCGAGTCGAATTCGCGCTTCTTCTCACGCAGGATCTGGAAGAAGCCTTCTTTGGCCCTGATGACGGGCGAGGGCGGGCATCGCAGCGTCGCGCGCGATGACGCCGATGTAGCGGCTGGAGTACGCGGGCAGCTGTCCTGCATTCTCGAAAAATGAGACTATGCCTCGCCTTAAGCCAATGCTCAAGGCCAGCAACTTGATCGTCGGCCAATCAACTCGATTGCAGTAAACGCCACCGAGATGTTGGTTCGTTCTGGCGCCCTTTTTTTGGCGGGAATGTGCCCATTTTGGCGGGAACGAAGAACAGGTCGATTTCATGACAACGCAGATTAATTCCAGGCTGTAGAAATGGAGGGCGAAGCGGCACCCAAGACTGTGCCTCTTGTTTTAGATCAGACCGCCGAGCTACTGCAGGGCACTTTCACAACGTTCCTAAATGAGTACGCTGCGTCTGCTGCCCATTTGATGGTGCCCAATAATTTATTGTCCCCCAAGGTTCCGCGATGTGAGCAACAAGAGGAGCTACTTGGAGCAAATTGGGCACATGTGCCGTAATGATCAGAAAACGCTCTACTTGGACTTCAAGGATGTGCTTAATTTTGAGGCCTCGGGCAAAGCAGGTGATTTGGCACCTCGTCCTTTCTCTTTCTCTTTCCTCTCTGCGTTGATGCTGATCGCACCTTCTTTTGATCTCCAGAGATTCAGGGGTTGAGCGTGCTCATGGAACAAGAGTACTTCCGCATGGAGCCGTACCTCCGCAAAGCCGTGCAGAACGTGGCCAAGCAACTCTATCCCGAGTTTATGAGACCTGACGACGACAAGGATCAGAAGGAGAGGGAGTTCTGGATCGCCGTCTACAATGTGCCCATGGTCCACAGGCACGGTCTCCTTGTGACCTCGCCTTCTAGAAGGCGTCTCGGCACACGCACGCACGCACGCACGCACGCACACGCACCATCGCACACGTGAGCTGACCCTCTCGCATCTTTCTGGCGATAGGATTCGACAGCTGCGAACAGACAAGATCGGTTCGCTCATCGCCGTCAGCGGGACGGTCACACGCACATCCGAGGTCCGGCCCGAGCTCCTCTACGGCGCGTTCGCCTGCCAGGACTGCCGCGTCGTGGCCAAGGGCATCCCGCAGCACTTCAAATACACAGAGGTGCGCATTCACTTCACTTCTTTGCTAACGTGCCACGTAGGTCGGCGCAGCGCTCAGCCTCATGAGCTGACCACCCTCGTCCACTCAGCCGATTGCGTGCAAGAGCAGCCAGTGCATGAACAAGTTCAGGTGGCAGCTCAACGTCGAGCAGTCGGAGTTCGCCGATTGGCAGCGCGTGAGGGTGCAGGAGAACCCGTCGGAGATCCCGTCGGGCTCGATGCCCCGCAGCATGGACATCATCCTCCGTAACGACGCCGTGGAAAAGGCCAAGCCCGGCGACAAGGCCATCTTCACCGGTACCTTGATCGTCGTCCCCGACGTGTCGCAGCTTGGACTGCCCGGTGTGCGCGTTCAGGTACGTGCCCTACGCGCAACGCACACGACACACGACACACGCACCACCGCACACGCCAGTAACGCTCTTTGCGAACGCGACTGCACACACGCGACCCTCCCCTCGTCAAGGCCATATCGTCGGCGAAGGAGGGAGGGAAGGACAGCGGCGAGGGATTCTCCGGTACGGCGGACGGCGAGGGCTTCACGGGGCTCAAGTCGCTCGGCGTCCGCGATCTGTCCTACAAGCTGTGCTTCCTCGCCTGCGCCGTGCACCCGCTCGATAACAACAAGGTGATCCACGCCATGATGATCATGTATTGTTGATTGATGATTGATGATTGTTGTGCGATGTGTTGTGGTTACTGACCACTTCTTCTCCGCCGCTTTGTACAGCTGATCAACTTCAAGGGCGAGGAGGAAGATGATGACGACGAGCAGGTGCTGAGCCAGTTCACCGACGAAGAGTTGGAGGACATCGAGAAGATGAAGCAGGACCCCATTCTCTACGACAACCTTGTGCGGAGCATTGCCCCGAGCGTGTTTGGTATGAGAAGCGCACCGAGTCAGCAGAAGCAGCGCACACGCACTTACACTTGGAGGTGATCGACTAACTCGTTCTTCTTCTTCTTCTTCTATGGTGATTAGGTCACGATGAAGTCAAGCGCGGTATTTTGCTGATGCTCTTCGGCGGAGTGCACAAGTCGACGATCGAGGGCATCAAGCTGCGCGGCGACATCAACGTTTGCGTCGTCGGCGATCCCTCCACGTCCAAGAGCCAATTCCTCAAGTACCCTTCCTTTCTTCTCTTTTTTTTCTTCTTCATTTATTCATTTTTCTTTCGAAGTAAGTTCTTGTTTATTTAATTATTATACTTTGCAGATACGTGGCCTCGTTGATGCCCCGAGGAATCTACACGTCCGGTAAGGCCTCCTCTGCGGCCGGTCTGACGGCGTGCGTGGCCAAGGACCCGGACACGGGCGAATTCGCCATCGAGGCCGGTGCCCTGATGCTTGCCGACAACGTACGCCGCAGCCTTTTGCGGCAGCACCAGATCTCTCGCACACCGCCAACTTACAATTCCTTTTTCTTACCCTCCCCCATCCAACCAGGGCATCTGTTGTATTGACGAGTTCGACAAGATGGACGTGAGAGATCAGGTCGCCATTCACGAGGCCATGGAGCAACAGACCATCTCTCTCGGTACGCACCGGCAAACCGCACACATCACGGCACACACAGCACACAGCACACGCACACGCACACGCATGCCTTGGGGGCGCGGACTGATCTGTGGTTGGTCGAATCGTACACACACATACAGCCAAGGCCGGCATTCAGGCGACACTCAACGCGCGCACGTCGATCCTGGCCGCCGCCAACCCGATCGGCGGTCGCTACGACAAGTCCAAGACCTTGCGGGCCAATCTCACCCTGTCGGCGCCCATCATGTCCCGATTCGATCTCTTCTTCATCGTTCTGGACGAGTGCGACGAGGAGACCGACATGAGCATCGCCAGGTGCACTTCACGCCCCGCACACGCACCGCCGCACCACCACACGCACACGCACCACCGCACGCACACCACACGCACACGCACCAGTAACGCCGTTGGCTAACGGCCAAGCGCAGGCACATCATATCAGTGCATCAGAAGAGGGAGCAGGCCCTGAAGCCGGTCTACTCGATCGAGCAACTCCAACGCTACATCCGATACTCCCGCATCTTCAAGCCACGGGTACGACACGCACCACCGCACACGCACGCACGCACGCACACACACGCGCACAACACACACAACACACACAACACACATACACGGCACGACACGCGACGATCGCTCACAACGGTTTGGAACGGAGCGCGCAGATAAGTTCGGAATCGATGGAGCTGCTGGTGCACCACTACCGGAAGCTGCGCGAGAACGACGTGGGCGCCGGCGGCAAGTCGTCCTACCGCATGACCGTCCGTCAGCTCGAGTCCATGATCCGTCTCTCCGAGGCCCGCGCGCGCATTCACTGCGACGAAGAGGTACGCTCCACTGACCTGTGCGTGCGTGTGCGGTGGTACCTATGCGTGTGTCGTGTGTCATGTGCTCATGCTCACGAGCTCCAGGTGAGACCGGCGTACGTCGAGGAGGCGGCGCGGTTGCTGAAGAAGTCCCTCATCCACGTTGAGACCGAGAAGATCGCTCTCAGCGACGTGCCCGCCAAGAAGCGTGCGCACCTCCCCTCCCCTCCCCCCAATCTGCCCACTACTCGCCGGAGTACTGACGCCATGCCGGGCTGCAGCGGGCGACGGTTCGGTGATGGACGTGGAGTCATCGACCGCCGCTGCGCCGACGGGAGGCCCCGCGAAGCCGGCTGCAGCGAAGAAGGGCGGCAAGGCCGCGGCGGTGCAGGAGACGAAGAAGAAAACGAAGACGACGAAGACGACAGACGATGAAGAGAGCGCGGAAGAACCGCTGACGGTGAGCTACGAGGACTACAGGAAGATCTCCAACACGCTCGTCGCCCACCTCAAGGACTACGAAGCCTCCGAGGAGGAAGAGTCGGGCGGTACTCTCTCCCCCAACTGTCTTACTTTCTCTTCTTTTTTTACTCACCGCACGACACGACACACGCGCCACCGCACACGACACGACACGACACATGCGTGCAGGACTGACGCGAGAGGACCTGGTGAGTTGGTACGTGGAGCAGAAGGCCGACGGGCTCAACTCGGAGGAGGAGCTCAAGCGGACGGCCCGCACGGCGCGGCTCATCGTCGACCGGCTCGTCACCCGCGACGGCGCCCTCCTCGAGGACAAGAGCGGCGTGCTGGCCGTCCACCCGTCCTTCCTCGACGACTGAGACCCATCAGTCATATGCGAGAGGCCAACACACACGCGTAAGAGTGTCAACCCACCACCACTACACCAAAGGTGATGTTGTTCTTTTATGTACAGCTTCCACCTCGTCTCTTCTTCGCTCTCTTCTTCGTTCTTTCTTCGTTCTTTCTTCGTTTTCGCGATCAGACCCAGTCGTCTTCGTCGTCGTCGAGGTCGGAGCTGGAGTCGGAGTCTTCGTCGTCCGGGTTGAGGTCGAGCATGATCTGCTTCACGGGCTCGCTTGGCGGCGGCGCCAGCCCCGATGGCGGCGCCCTGTGGTGACACCGCTCGTGTCGTTAGCCACCGCACACGCAACACGCAACACGGCACGCACGACACGCAACGCGAGGTGCGTACGGCGGGAGCTCGGCGATGGGGATGAGGGCGGGAGCGGGTCCTCCGGCGAAGGGCAGCGGCTGCTGCATGGGGAGCGTGGGTCCGGCGCCCAGGTCCGGTGCGCCCAGGTCCGCCTCCTCCTTCTTGGCGGCGCCCGTGAGGTCCGAAAAATCTTCGCACACGCACCGCACACGCGCAGGATTAGTGTGTGGTGTGCGTGGTGCGTGTGCGTGGTGCGTGTGCGTGGTGCGTGTGCGTGGTGCGTGTGCGTGTGCGTGTGCGTGTGCGTGTTGATTGTGATGACTACCGGGGATGGGGGCGGAGGTGGAGTTGTGGTAGAAGTTGCCCTGGAGGATGTTGATCTCCTGCGGGGCCGGGGGCAGGAACATGCGCATGTGGGGCAGGTTCGGGTTCCAGTTGGGCGGCGCCGACGTCGTGTAGCTCACCTTGTGCGCGTAGGCCACCACCTCGTCCACGTCCACCCCGTCACGCCTTGCGCTGCCGCCACCTGTGTGCGCCACGCTTTAGCTGCGTGCGTGCATGCGTGCGTGCGGCATACGCAACACGCGCGGTGCATACCGGGTACGAGAGGCCGGTCGAGCTTGGTGGTGGTGTCGTCGATGACGCGCTGGAGGGTGCCCTGTGCCTGCTGCAGCTGCAGGGCGAGCTGCTCCACGACCCCGTCCTTCTTGGCCACCTCGTCCTTGAGCCGCGCCAACCGCTGCTGCTGTCTCTGGTGCTCCCTCACTGTCGCAAATGCAATCAATCAATCGAACGCAAGAGCATTGTGATCGACAGATTTCTACACCATTGAATCAAATGATGGAAATGTGCAGAGTTGAAAGCGGTACGTTGGTTGAGGGCTCGTAGGAGGGCCTGGTCGGTGCGCAGGAGGCGCTCCATGAGCTCTTCGGGTGAGGCATTCTTCTGGAGGGCGGCTGCAGATCGATCGCCACTACTCGCCACTGAAGATGAAGATGGCCCGGGTGTGGTGCTGGTGGCAGAAGAGGGCAGCAAGGAGTGCAGCAGGGCCGACGCCAACCGTGCGTACTGCTGCAGCTGCTCCCGCACCACCGCCGACGCCGACGAAGCCACCGGGGACGAGGCCGCGACAGGTGCTGCTCGCGTCTCCATCTTCCAGCCACAAACAAAAAAGAATAAAAAGTTTCGATTTTGAGTAAAATCCAAATTATCTGCCTTTCATCATCTGTCGATGAAGAGGAAGCTTCCAGTGATCTTCCAAGAGATGGACAAGATGAATGTTTAATATATTTATTTGTTTTTGTGGGTTTTGGTTTTGTGCACGCCATAAAACAAGAAGAGAAAGAGGAGACCGCGAAGAGCCTTCGAGGTCGTGGTGAAGGAGAAGGAGAAGAAGAACAACGACTCGACGCGAAGAGGGCGGGAGGTCCGCGCGTCTTGCTCAATGAGGTGAGAGAGAAGTAGAGCGTGAGTCGGTCTCATGAGTGCTGCACCGTCGCCGTAGCCATCCGCCATGTGTCGTCGTCTCAGCTCTACTGGCCGAGGGCGGGGAACTGGGCCGCATCGGTGATGGCTGGGGCCGGAGCGGCCTTGGCCTCCCTCTTGGGCGCAGCAGCCTGGGGCGCGGCCTGAGCCGGCGAACCCTGGCCTTCCCGGCGGGGCCTGCGCTCGCCGGTGGGCTCACCGCCGTCGCGACGGCCACGGCCGCCGAAGCCGCCACGACCACCCTCGCGACCCTCGCGGTTGAAGCCGCCGCGGCCACCGCGACCACCCTCGCGACCCTCGCCGCGTGGGCGGCTGGTGTCGAAGCGGAGGATGTCGGCGGCGGAGATGGTCTTCTCCTTGGGCGCGGCCTTCTTGGCGAGCTGGACCTGGGGCTGGGCGTCCTTGGCCTCCTTCTTGGCCTCCTTCTTGGCGATGGTGATGGAGATGGGCTGGGCGTCCTCCTCCTTCTTGAGCGGGACGGCGTTGGCCCACTTGGGGTCGAGCTTGACGCCCTCGCCGGCCGAGCGGGCCTTGGGCTGCTTGAACTTCTTCTTGGCAGCGGCGGCTTCGGCCTTCTGCTGCTTCTGGTACTCCTCGAAGGAGACCAGCTTGTCGTCGGGGTCCTCCTCGACCGGGGCGGCGGGCTCGACGGCCTTGTCCTTGCCCTTGGTCTCGGCACCCTCGGCGGCGGCGGCGGCGCCCTCAGCGGCGGCACCCTCGGCAGCGACGGCGCCCTCGGCCTCCTCACCGGCGGCGGCGGGCTCGGCGGCGGCCTCGATCACGGCGGCGAGCTCGTCCTTGCCGGCAGCGCCCCAGTTGGACTTGCCGGCGCCGCCCTTCTTGTTCTCGGTCGGGTCGCGGCCGGTGCCAGAGTGTCGGTCAAACACGCGGCCACGGGCGGGGCGCCTGCCCTCGTAGTTGGGGGCGTTGGCATCACCGCGGTCCTTGACGGGGCGGTCCCTGCGGTCGTTGCGCTGGCGCGGCTCGCGGACGGGGCGGCCCTCGGCGTCGACGGTGGCGACGGCGCCGCCACCCTCTCGTCGGGCACCCTCGCGACGCGGGGGACGCTCGCCGTTGTTCACGCGGGGACCGCGCTCACCGGCGGGACGATCGAAACGCCTGCCCTCACCTGCATTAATGGGGGGGGTTGAAAGAAAAATGCGATTAGCAAATGAGATCGGAGTTAGGCAGATCCTCTACAGAGATCGTGCAAGGCAACGGATTAACGACACGCGCTTTGACTACATAACAGCGGCACAATGGGAAATTTGTACACATAGCTATAAGAACATATAGATATCAAATCAATTGGCATTCGGAGCTGGGGAAGGAGTGGATTAAGCAAACGTACCGGGGGCGCCATCACGCCTGGGAGCCTGGCCATCACGGGCGGGGCGGCTGACCTGACCATCACGGGCGGGCCTGCCCTCGCGGGCGGGACCCTTGCCAGCGGCCTGACCGGCGGCGGCGGGCTTGGCCTGACCCTGAGCGGGCTTCTTGCCAGCGGCGGCGGGCTTGCCAGCGGCCTGCTGGGCCTTCTTCTGGGCGGCAGCGGCAGCGGCGGCGGGGGCAGCAGCAGCGGCGGCAGCATCAGCGGCGGCCTTCTTCTGAGCGGCGGCGGCCTTGGAGGGACCCTCCTCGCTGAGGAGATCGAAGAGGTTGGTAGTCTGGACTCCGTACTCCGTCATTGCCTGAACCAAAACAATGGAAATTAGCATAAATGCGATCGGCTACTCGATTCCACAAAAGGGGCATTGCATTGCCACTCCGGGGAAGCAAGAATTGTCAATCTCGGCTGCGGGAATGTGCGATCAGTGTGGATCGCACATGCTCCGTTACCGCAGCGAGGGGCACAACACTCAGTCGGCTGAATAGAACCGACCCGTGCGCTACAAAATTTAAAGCCGGACTACAAGAATCGTGTAGTGCGGTCATTAAGAGAGATTGCGCGTGCTGTATATCTCCACGCTGAAACGGTTTGAGATTGCAATCGGCATTGCCTCCCCACCGCTCAATCTCTCCTTGCGCATGCATTCATGCTTGTTTCAAAGAGAAAAGTGGTCAATCAATCGCGGGAGATGACGTACGGTAGAGGGAGAGTGGTGTTTGGGGGTGACGACGGACGTACTAGCCGGGCGAGGGAGAAAAAAACTTGCTTACCTCCGTCCCGTCCTTGTGCCCTTTTCCTAACCCCCCTAATTGGCCTCCCCCCTCTGCTCCCATTCGTCCGCACCATGGCAACGAAATTTCGACTCCTAGGTCGAGCCTTCGCTGGGGCGGATCAGGAGTTTCGCCCGAGATCGGATGGGACTGGCCGCGAGATCGGGCGGTGCGGGGCGACAAGTGCGGTTGGGCGAATTCGCACCTCCCATTTTTTATGATTATTTATTACCGCGTGGGCGTGTGGTCGCACGCGCGCAGCCAAGACCGCGCCTGGCTCGACGACAAGTGGGAGTGGCTTAGAACATGGTCTATGGAGGGCCAGACATGCGTGAAGGTTAGCGTTGCGGACAATCTGCCACAAAGCGGCGCATGAGACCAGTGAGGAAAGGTACCGTGTGATGCGATGAGGTGGGCTTCTGGATCCTGTCCCAGTTCTTGGAGAGCACTGCCAAAGCGCAACGGCCAACCAACAACGCACGCATTCTCTCGCCGTGAGTACACAAAACATGCCAACGCACACATTCTTCGACACAGTGCTACGCGGGGCGGGGGCAGTGGGCGTACAATCGTAGATGATGGCCATGTTGTTGCGCAAGTCGAGGGTGGACTGCGGTGGGTCGAGGAGAAGGGTTAGACCATGACAGTGTAGGTTGGTAGAGAGATGTAGGTGTGTGTCTATGTCAGGCTTCATATTCTAATGTTGCCGGGGCAGCAGCTGTGGGTGGGTACCAGTCTCATGTTGAGGTATTCCTTCTCGTCGAGCTCCACGACGGAGAGGCTGTAGTCCTCGATCTCGGGGTGCTTCAGGACCTGGTTGTGTTCGAAATGCCGCGACATGAAGAAGGCAATCGCGATGAGCGCGCGTGGATGTGTGTGTGTGTGGCACCACACGCGTGGTGGCACCACACGCGTGCGGCGGAGCGTCTGGTCGTGACCACGCGGGAAGAGATAGGAGGTAAGGTACCTTTGAGATGAGCTTGCCTCGCGTTACGTAGTACTTGGTGATACCCTCGAGCAGGGAGTAGGCGGCATCTTCCGCTCGGCTGAGCTCGCTGATGGTATCCGTCTGGATGTCCACTGTTTGTTACGCGCGTGTGCACAGCCAAACGCACCAAACACGACGATGATTAGCGAGAGCGCACGCAGAGCAACACAAGAGTGCGCGCAAGGCCGCAAGAAGGCGTGTGACGAACCTCCGAACGTGTTGCCGGCCTCGATTCTAGTCAAGGGCAGCGCGATGGAGGAATGAAAAAAAAAAATAAAATAAAAAAAGGGGGAGAGGGGCTTGTGTGAGCAGAATCGAAGAAATAAATGAAATAAAATAAAAATGAAGAGAAGCAGGAAGAAGCGAAGTGTCTTCGTTGTTGTCACCTTGGAATGCTAAGCTGAATCCTGTGGTGACACGATCACGATTTGTGCACGAAGGGAGAGGAGGTCAGCATATTCATGGCCTGAAGCGTTGTGTGTTGTGTTGTGTTGTGTTGTGTGTGGTTACCAGATCTTGACGCTGTTGAAGATATCGATCACCGCCAAGATTTCCTCCTTGATCGCTGGAACGACGCGGGCCAGCGCCTAGAGAAAGAAGAAGAGAAGCGGGTCAGAACCTGTTTCGCCCAACGCTGGCCTCCGGCGACCATTATGCAAGCACGACCCACGACGACACCACCCACCCACACGACACACGACACACGACACACGACACGACACACACGGCACACATACACAGTACCTTGTTGACGGGCACTGCGCCCTTGCTGCCCTCGACTCGCGCACGCTTGCTCGGGGGCGCCGCGGTCTCGTCCTCCTCCAGGCGGGGCTCCTGTCCAACCTGGCCTGCGCGCAGGCTGAAGTCATCCGACTTGAGCAGGGTCGACAGTTTCTGTTGTACCCCCCCCCACGCCCCCAAAGACCAACGCACGCGCATCAGGAATCATGCCCTCGGGTGATCACCGCACTTGTGCGGCAGTAAAATTTCAAGAAAAAGAAAATTGTGGTAATTTGGACCAAAATCGAAGTGAATTGGCAAAGATCGAGTGTAGGGCCTTGCCACGCGATCCGACCCAATTATATGTAATAATGAAGGGAGGGGAATTGAGAGGGCAATGGTGGGTGGCGAACCAGGATCCTCTCGGGCATGGAGTGCTTGAAATGCTGGTTGGCAGTTTGTGCAATGGCCTCCCACAGTTCGTCGACCTGCTTCTTGGCATCTACGTTCGTTGGCGTGCCCTCCATCTCTGCGCGCATTGATTTCCAACTAGTTTGATTTTGGTTTTTTTTGCTTCGCGGTACCGACGCATTTACATAGTTTAAATTCCAATCTTTTCTTCTGCCTTTCCGCTGCGCAAAGCGGATCAGTGACTGATCTAACAAAGATGGCGGACTACAGCACGGACACGAGCATCCCCACGTACGAGCCATCGACGGAAACGCCTCTTTTCGGTGAGGAGCGAAAGGGCGTCAAATGGCTGGCGTGGCTTATCATCGCGGCCATCGCCATCTTAATCATTTTCTCCGCCACCGTGGGCATCGTGTTCGGCATCCTTCACCAGACGCCGCAGCACATCATGCTCACCGGCTCCATGCTCTGTCTCGTCCTCGTCCTCATCGTCCAGGTACCAATCACTCTCTTCTGCCAGGTCTTCTTAAAATGCAAACAAATCGTTCGTACCATCTCCAATTCAAACGGTTCGCTCTCCTCAACAGTGGCGGTTCTACGCCAAGGGCGACCAGGATCCTAAGCTCTTTTGGTGCGTTCCGCCCTCGCGCTTGCTTGCCAAAGGCCTCCCATGCGTTGCGTGTGCGTGTCGGTGCGCGCACACACGCACGTAGCGCGTCGTGTAGCGGGAAACGCCTCCACTACACGCTCATCACCGCTCACCGCATACGATGTGCGCTGACCACGCAGGGTCCTCCTGGGCTCGACCCTCGTGGTGGTGCTCATGTGCGTCACCATCAACGCCTACGTGTGGCCGCCCCTTCCCGCCGAGTGCGAGCCCCACCCCAACTGGTACATCCGCCCGCCTCGGCGCACTCGTGTGGTCCGTGGACTCGCTACTCACCACCACCACGACCACCACGACCACCACCACCTTCTCCACTGCCAGCCCCAATGGCCTCTACAACACGCAGACGAAGTTGTGCGTGCTGTCGGGTGTGGCAAACTGCTACGCCACGGGCCAGTGCCCGCAGGTGACGTCCCTCGAGCAGCCCGTGGCGCAGTGCTGCAACTGCACCTGCGGCGCCACCCCAATGGGACTCGACGCCTTCGGGCGAGCCCTGTGAGTGAGCGGCACCACAACCTCCTCTCTCTTTCTTGCACACAAGGTTAAATGAAGAAGAAGAAGAAGAAGAAGAAGAAGAAACACAACTTCACAACACGACGTGTGTGAACACAAGCGTGGTTGTCTCTTTAACAAAATAAATATTAATAGATAGGAAATCAACATGTAAACAAAGCAACACTCGCTGTGTTATCTCTCCCCCTCCCTCCCTCTCTTGTGGTTGATTGTGTCGGTCGCCGGTGCTGCTGGGACCCGATGCTCAGTTGGCGTTGAGGCCGTGGGTCTGGGTGACGAGGGCGACGAGCGCGGCCATCTGGGCCTCGAGGCTGGCCACCTGAGCGGTGAGGCGGCCGACCTCGGCCTGGAGCGTCTTCACCTCGGCCGCGGTCTCCTTGACGCCCTGGAGCGCGATGACGCCGATGCCGCCGTAGGCCACGCCCAGGTGGTCGTCGGTCTTGGTGACCAGCTCGGGGAAGAGCTCCTGCACCTCCTGCGCGATGAGACCGATCTGCAGTCGCGGGTCGGCGAGGGACGAGTTCCAGTGGTAGGTCACGGGGCGCATCTGCTCGATCTTGCCCATCACCGGCTCGAGCGGCTTCACGTCTCGCTTGAGCCGCGCGTCGGAGTTCTGGGCGAGGGCGCCGCTCAAGGTGGCGGCGCCGCTCTTGAGGACTCGGAACACAGTGGCGCGGACCAAGCAGGCGTCGTCGTTGGAGGTGTCGATGGTGCCGGCGCCCACGGCGAAGGCCACGTCGGCCGTGTTGACCGTCGTTGTGCTGACGGGGGAGGTTTGCACATTACACGAGCCCACCACGGTCTCGGCAAAGGATGTCGCAGTGACGCGGTATCCGAACGCGGCCGACCCCTTGCCCGAGGAGGTCGTAGCGCGGCCGATGGCCATCGAGTAGGCGCCCGACGCCGTGGTGCTCGTGCCGATTGACACTGACGTCTGGCCTCCAGTAATGGCGGCGTGGCCCATGGCGAACGAGCCGGGTGAGGTGGCCTGACAGTCGCGACCGGCCGCGAACGCGCGGTTGGCGGTGGCCTTGGAGCCGCGGCCGAAGCACACTGAGTCTTCGCCAGTGGCCTGCGACGACGAGCCCATCGCGACGGAGCCCGTGCCCGAGGCAATCGTCTGATTGTTGGCTGCGAAGGAGTAGGTGCCCGACGCCACGGCCGTGAAGCCCATTGCTACCGAGCCAGAGCCCGAGGCCTGCGTGTTCAAGCCCATGGCGAACGACTGAGAGGCCGATGCCACCGTGCCCGAGCCCATGGCCACGGCTTGGTCGCCCGATGCTTCCGTGCCTCCGCCCATGGCCACGGCTTCGCTGCCCAATGCCGTCGTGCCTCCGCCCATGGCGAACGACCCCGAGCCCGATGCCGTCGTGCCGGAGCCCATGGCCACGGCTTGGTCGCCCGATGCTTGCGTGCCTCCGCCCATGGCAAACGACCCCGAGCCCGATGCCTCAGTGCCGGAGCCCATGGCCACGGCTTGGTCGCCCGATGCTTCCGTGCCTCCGCCCATGGCCACGGCTTGGTCGCCCGATGCTTCCGTGCCTCCGCCCATGGCCACGGCTTGGTTGCCCGATGCCTCGCGCCTCCTCCCATGGCGAACGACCCCGAGCCCGACGCCGTCGTGCCCGAGCCCATGGCCACGGCTTGGTCGCCCGATGCCGTCGCGCCTCCGCCCATGGCCACGGCTTGGTCGCCCGATGCCTCCGCGCCTCCGCCCATGGCGAACGACCCCCAGCCCGATGCCTCAGTGCCGGAGCCCATAGCGAACGACCCCGAGCCCGATGCCGTCGTGCCCGAGCCCATGGCCACGGCTTGCGCGCCCGATGCGTCCGTGGTCGAGCCCATGGCGAACGCTTGGTTGCCCGATGCCGCCGTGCTCGTGCCCATGGCGAACGACTGCTCGCCCAATGCCGCCGTGCCCGTGCCCATGGCCACCGACTGCAAGTTGGCTGCATACGTGCCCAATCCCGCCGCGACCGACTGGTCGCCTTCGGCCAGCGTCCCAGAGCCCAGCGCCACGGACTGGGCGCCGACGGCGTCGGTCTGGTAGCCGAACGCGACCGCCTGGTCGCCATCAGCGACGGCGTTGTAGCCAAGCGCCACAGCGCCCTGTCCGTTGGCCTCCGACGCCTCGCCGGCCGCGAAGGCCTGGTTGGCCGACGCAATGGTGAGCAGGCCCAGCGCGACCGAGAACTCGCCGCTTGCGGCGCTGGACAGGCCCATCGCCGTGGAACCCAGGCCGGAGGCCGTCGAGCCAAAGCCCATCGCCACCGCCAGCTCGCCGGTGCTCTGGGAGCCGAAGCCCATCGCCACCGCGTAGTCCTCGGTGGCATCCGTCTGGAAGCCCGCGGCGAAGGCGAAATCGCCGGCCGCCCCCGACTCCGAGCCCATGGCGGTTGATCCGATGCCCGAGGCGACCGTCTTGTCGCCCAGGGACATCGAACGGGAGCCTGTCGCACGCGCGCCGTTGCCAAGCGCAACCGCGCGAATGCCTGACGCGATGGCCGTGGAGCCCGCAGCGAACGATGACTCGCCCGAGGCCGTCGCGGAGTTGCCCACGGCGAATGAGGTGGCACCCGAGGCCGTCGCGGAGCTGCCCATGGCGAATGAGGCGGCGCCCGAGGCCGTCGTAGTGTTGCCCAGGGCGACCGAGTAGACGCCCGACGCCTTGGTGCCCGAGCCCATGGCCACGGCTTGCGAGTCCGATGCGTTGGTGCCAAGCCCCATAGCGAACGACCCCGAGCCCATTGCGAGCGTGCCCGAGCCCATGGCCACGGCTTGCGCGCCCGATGCCGTCACGCCCGAGCCCATGGCGAACGACTGCGAGCCCGACGATGTCACGCCTGCGCCCATGGCCACGGCTTGCGAGCCCGATGCCGTCAAGCTTGTGCCCATGGCCACGGCCTGGTTGCCCGATACTGACACGCTCGAGCCCATGGCGAACGACTGCGAGCCCGATGATGACACGCCTGCGCCCATGGCCACGGCTTGCGAGCCCGATGCCGTCAAGCTTGTGCCCATGGCCACAGCTTGGTTGCCCGATACTGACACGCCTGAGCCCATGCCGAACGACTGCGAGCCCGATGATGACACGCTCGATCCCATGGCCACTGCTTGCGAGCCCGATGCTGACACGCCTCCGCCCATGGCCACGGCTTGGTTGCCCGATACTGACACGCCTCGAGCCCATGCCGAACGACTGCGAGCCCGATGATGTCACGCCTGCGCCCATGGCCACGGCTTGGTTGCCCGATGCCGTCAAGCTTGTGCCCATGGCCACGGCCTGGTTGCCCGATACTGACACGCCTGAGCCCACGCCGAACGACTGCGAGCCCGATGATGTCACGCTCGCGCCCATGCCGAACGACTGCGAGCCCGATGATGTCACGCCTGAGCCCATAGCCACGGCTTGCGAGCCCGATGCCGTCAAGCTTGTGCCCATGGCCACGGCTTGGTCGCCCGATGCCGTCGCGCCTCCTCCCATGGCCACGGCTTGGTTGCCCGACGCCATCGAGCCTCCGCCCATGGCGAACGACCCCGAGCCCGATGCCGTCGTGCCCGAGCCCATGGCCACGGCTTGGCTGCCCGATGCTTCCGTGCCTCCGCCCATGGCAAACGACCCCGAGCCCGATGCCTCAGTGCCGAGCCCATGGCCACGGCTTGGTCGCCCGACGCTTCCGTGCCTCCACCCATGGCCACGGCTTGAGGACCCGATGCCATCGCGCCTCCGCCCATGGCGAACGACCCCGGACCCGACGCCGTCGTGCCGGAGCCCATGGCCACGGCTTGGTCGCCCGATGCCGTCGCGCCTCCGCCCATGGCCACGGCTTCGTCGCCCGATGCCTCCGCGCCTCCGCCCATGGCGAACGACCCCGAGCCCGATGCCTCAGTGCCCGAGCCCATGGCCACGGCTTGGGAGCCCGATGCTTCCGTGCCTCCGCCCATGGCGAACGACCCCGAGCCCGATGCCGTCGTGCCCGAGCCCATGGCCACGGCTTGAGAGCCCGATGCTTCCGTGCCTCCGCCCATGGCCACGGCTTGGTTGCCCGATGCCTCCGTACCGGAGCCCATGGCCACGGCTTGGTCGCCCGATGCTTCCGTACCAGAGCCCATGGCCACGGCTTGCAAGCCCGATGCCTCCGTACCAGAGCCCATGACCACGGCTTGGTTGCCCGATGCCGTCGCGCCCCCGCCCATGGCGAACGACCCCGAGCCCGATGCCGTCGTGCCCGAACCCATGGCCACGGCTTGGTCGCCCGATGCCGTCGTGCCCGAACCCATGGCCACGGCTTGCAAGCCCGATGCCTCCGCGCTTCCGCCCATGGCGAACGACCCCGAGCCCGATGCCTCAGTGCCCGAGCCCATGGCCACGGCTTGGTTGCCCGATGCTTCCGTGCCTCCGCCCATGGCCACGGCTTGGTCGCCCGATGCCGTCGCGCCTCCGCCCATGGCGAACGACCCCGAGCCCGATGCCTCCGTGCCTCCGCCCATGGCCACGGCTTGAGAGCCCGATGCCTCCGCGCTTCCGCCCATGGCGAACGAATCCGCGCCTGACGCCGTCGTGCCCGAGCCCATGGCGAACGACTGCGCGCCCGACGCCGTCGTGCCCGAGCCCATGGCCACGGCTTGATCATTCGATGCCGTCGTGCCCGAGCCCATGGCGAACGACTCCTCGCCTGACGCCGTCGTGCCCGAGCCCATGGCGAACGACTGGTCGCCCGAGGCCGTCGTGGTGACACCCATGGCCACGGATTGAGGACCCGTCGCTGTCGTCCGATCGCCCATGGCGAACGATTGCTCGCCCTGGCCTCGCACTGGCTGCCGGCGGCCAGGGAGCCGTTGCCCCAGGCCCTCGTGTCGATGCCGAACGCCGTGCTGCCCATAGCTTTGGCGTACGCGCTGATACCGACAGCCACAGCGCCGACCTCGCGCGCCCTGGCCTGATTGCCCGCAGCGAAGGATTGCGCTCCGGAGGCCACCGTATCGTAGCCGAACGCCGCAGAGTCCTCGCCGAGGAAGGCGTCGTTCCAGGCCGAGTTGGACACCGTGCCGGCGCGGAAGGCACCCTGGCACGACTTCCACACCTGCCGGCGGCCGGCGCCCTGCGGCACGCCGCACTCAAAGTAGGTGTTGGACCCGAGCGACTCGAACTCGCCACCCACCACGGCCAGGCCGTCCTTGTAGATCGTGAAGGCGTTGGACTCGTTGTAGCACGCGCCGCTCGTGTAGTAGCCGTTGCCCACCTCGAACAGGGGCTCCGTGTCGACCCAGGCAGCGCCCGAGTAGGTGGTGCCCGTCTGCACGTTGCACTGGCCGATCACGGTGGACACCAGCGCCTTGGCCACCACGCTCCGGCCGAGGGCCGCCGCGTTGTCGCCCGTCGCAAGCGTCGCATATCCGAGGGCAGCCGAGTGGTCGCCCGAGGCGAGCGCGTCCTGGCCAAAGGCGAACGAGCTGTCGCCCCAGGCCGTCTCGTCCTGCGAGTCCGCATTTGCGGGTGACTCGCCCGCGCGGAAGGCCGCCTTCGTGGACAGCCACACGAACTGGGTGGTCGCTGCGGCGTTCGACGGGAAGTAGGTGGCGACAGATTCGCCCGCGCCGGGGGTCGACCTGATGAACAGGCCGCCGGCGTGGACGGCCTCCACGTCGGCCTTCGACACGCGCGTCGTTCCGTTGACGTCGAGCTTGTGGGCGGGGCTGCTGGTACCGATACCGACCAGGCCGTTGTCGTAGGTGTAGTAGGAGTCGTCGCCCACGACCGTCCACGGGAGGATCACCCAGTTGTTGCCCGTGCGCCCGATGGTGAGGTTGTTGCCGTTGAAGGTGAGGTAGCTGGTGGTGTCGCAGAGGTTGATCTGTAGGGGGCACGCGATGATGTTCCCGTCTGGCTCGATGGAGAAGAGGGCGTTACCATCTCGTGTGATGACGAAGTCCTCGTTGGCGCAGCTTTGTGCTGTACGGTGGTTGAGAGATGGAAGAGAAAGAGAGAGATTCACAGTGAGGGCGGGACGAATCTTGCTCAGTCAAAAAGGCCGCAAACAGATTCCAATCAGCTACGGGGGAGGGGGGGAAGCAGACGAGGGCATCAAAGATGGAAGGAGAAACGAAGAGATCGTTAACGGATCCCTGAGGGAGATAGGGGGCGTACCGCTTACGAAGGCCACGAAGGCCCAGAGGAGTAGGAGGGATAACCGCAGATGAAGGCCAGAACGATCCATGATCGGCCGTCCCACGCTCTATGCGGCTCTCTACAGACCTGTGCGGGCCGGAGCGGTCAACTATCGCGCCTGTACGAAAAGAAGAGGAAAAAAGGTCCCCCCTTCCTTTCTCGTCGTGTGCTGTTGGGTGCTATTGGCCCACGTTAAAAGGGGGAGCTGCTTCGCATTCCACCCCGCTGGGCAGCTCACGGTTTCTTTTTTTCAAGGCGTACGTGGAACTGGCATTGCTGCGCATGTCACGACATCTGCCTGGGTGGGAGGCAATTGCTGCCCCCCCATGCGCTTGAGTACAAAGACACAAATCGCCACAATCCTGCCTCTCGTCTCTTTTTCGCTCGTCGAGAATAATTACAAAAAAAGCATGCCCGGGCAAATTCCGATCATTTCCGCCTGCTTTGCATTTTTGCGTTTATAAGGATACCAAATTTGCGTCTGTGTGAAAGCCCACCTCTTGGTTGAGGTAGGTCGAGTCGCATCCAACCCGACACCCTCTGGTCCGCTGCTCACGGTGCGAGGATGCTGTCGCGGTGCGGACTGCGACATGGAACACACGATGACGGAGGAGGGAGACGGGAAGACCTGGGGCTGAGCATGGTCTTGGCTTGCCTCGTGCTGCTGCGTGCTGCATGCCCCACCCCGCCCAAGCACTGGGCGAGTGGAGCCTGTGCGCTGACTCCGTGTGGAGCGGATGGGGGACCACATGCTGCGGCGCAAACAATCTCTGGGCGATGGGCTACTGCGACTCGGGCAATCTGTTCGCATCTTCATGTGCGCCCCCCCCCTTGCAAATCTCTCTCTTTCCATTAGATGGAATGATCATCTCATGTGGCTAAATGCTCGAATGCGAAGGTCCGGTCGTCCCGTTGGGGGTGTGCCCTACGCTACCGGCGGTCACGACTCTCGAGAGGACCTACACGCAATCGCTGGTGGCTGGCATCAACCTTGTGCGGGCCGATGGCTTGGATCCGCCGCAAACACCTGCCAATCTTACGAGGCTGGCGCGAGGCAATGCATGCTACCTCTCCGGTGCAGGGAGTACAAACGATTCCTCAATCCTCCAAAGCAATCGACGCAGGCTCATCGAGACCTTCGGCTACGATTACAACTTCTACGATGGCACCAACATGCCGTGCCCCGTGGTGACCAACGTCGAAGAGCTCCACGCCAGCGGGGGGCTGCCGTCTGCGGTGATGCAAAGCTGGCTGAACAACTCGACAGCGGCCGATGTGCTCGGCAGCGACTACACGGCCGTCGGGGTGGGTGTCTACTCGGGTTCGCCCACGAAGTACGTTGCCATCTTCGTCACGGTGGAGGACTACACCGAGATCGACACATCCTTGTGTCCAGCATCGAAAGATGACGAATTCTCGAATTTGTAGAGTGGGTGTTGGAGAACACGAATAGAGATGTGGGTAAAACAAACAAACAGCAGAAGACAAATGTGGATTGAGCAGATCACACCATCTGTTGCAGATGAACTGGGAGGAGAGGAAATGCAATTAAAACAGAATATCCTGAGAGTTAAGGTGGCTGCAGAGAAAACTTTTTGGCTGGCGACGCACAACAGAGCGATTGCGATACACGATTTTGGCGAGGATGGAGGTACACAAGGAAGATCCCGAGGAGGTCTTCGAGATGCTCGAGAAGCTGGGCGAAGGGTACGATCAATTCAAATCAAAGCTCATTTTTCTCCTTTTTTCGTGCATATATGCGCACCATTTCGCCATTTTGCGCCATTTTACCAGATAATGTAATTATCATTGCTATTTTATTTTAAAATCATCACAGGTCGTTCGGGGTGGTGTGCAAATGCCGAAGCAAAAAGGACAACAAAATCTACGCCGTGAAGGTGATTGAAGTAGAAGGCGAGGACGATTCCGCCATCAGGCGCGAGATTGACATCTTCTCGAGTCTATGCGACTCCGATCTCGTCGTACGCTACGGTGGCTGCTACCGCAAGGGCAACAATCTCCTCGTACGTCCCGCCCCCCACTCCCTACATCATCACCCCCATCCTCATCATCATTGCTCGCCACATTTCTGCACACCCTTCTCCACCCGCCTTCGCACGCGAGCCAGCCAAAGCGTTGCGCCCAGCCCCAGCCCACCGAGTAGTGCACTCACCTTTCCCTCTATCGTGTTCTATGCCGCGCGCGTGTGCGACCGCCGCGGCCGGTGCAGATTGCGATGGAGTACTGTGACGCGGGCTCGGTCCAGGACGTGATCAAGATCCGCAAGCGACAGCTCACGGAGGACCAGATCGCGGCCATCTGCGCGCAGGTGGTGCACGCGCTGGTCTACCTGCACTCCAAGCACGTCATGCACCGCGACATCAAGTCGGGCAACATCCTCCTCACTGAGAGCGGCACCGTGAAGCTCGGTACGACCAGCCAGCCAGAAGCTGTCCTTGCTTGCGTCACTTCAATCTCACGCACCACCCCACACTCACACGCACCACCGCACACACGCACATGCACATGCACATACGCACACACGCACACACGCACACACGCATACGCGGTTCATTCGCCCGACAGCGGACTTTGGTGTATCGGCGAAGCTGCAGAACACGATGGCCAAGAAGAACACGGTCATCGGCTCGCCCTACTGGATGGCACCGGAGTACGCCGCCGCCGCCACCGCCGCCGCCGCCGCCACCCAGCGGTTACACGACACACACGACACGACACGACACGCGCCGGCGCGTCTCTCTGACACTCCCCCCGCGCCCGCAGGATCATTTCGTCGAAGGCCGACGAGGGCTACGACATGCGGGCCGACATCTGGTCGCTCGGCATCACCGCCATCGAGATGGCCGACACCGAACCTCCGCGCTACGACATCCACTACGCCCGAGTACGATTCTCACATTTTTTTCCTATTTATGTTAGCATTTACATATTTATTTCTATTTTTATATTTATGCGTATGTTTATAATATATAACAAATTTTTTATACACTGCAGGTCATCTTCATAATCGCGCAAAAGCCGCCGCCGACGTTCAAGAACGAGAAGGAGTGGTCGGCCCAGTTCCTCGACTTCACCGCCAAGTGCCTCCAGAAGGACCCAAAAGACCGGCCCACCGCCAAGGAGCTCCTTAGCGTTCGTCGGCCCCGCCCTCCTCCCCTTTCACGCTCCATCCCAGCGTTCACTTACGCGCGTCTTTTCTGTTGTGTGCGGTGCGTGCGGTGTTGTGTGCGGTGTGTGTCGTGGCATACAGCACCCATTTATTCAGCGCGGTATGCAAAACAAGGCCATCGTGGCGCGACTCGTGGGCGAAACGCTGCCCCTCCTGGAGAAGTACCGCCGCGAGAAGGCCGCCCGAGGGCCCGAGGAGCAAACAGACACGTTCGAGGACTCAGACACGATCGTGCGGGGGATGGCTACTGTTGAGATACGAGGTAACCACCTTACACTTGCGTGTGCGTGTGCGGTGGTGCGTGTGCGGTGGTGCGTGTGCGGTGGTGCGTGTGTCATTGGCACTAACTTGGTGCAGGGGGGCTGGATGAGACGGGCAACTCGGGTACCTTCGTCGAGACCGATTTTGAGGTGGACAAGTCGGGCAAGGGTGCGTCGTACCCCGCGCTTCTTTGTGCAACACACGCGTTAAACTATGTGACTCACTCCGCTGTGGTGTGTCGTGTCGTGTCGTGTCGTGTCCTGGCCATGCGATTTTATTTGTGTGTGCGTGTGTGTGCGTGCGCAGGGTACAAATTTACGAATCTCAAGGTGTGATATACGAGCCCACGGAGGCGGAGGCGCATTCATGCTTGGCAAGGACCCGCGCCTGAGCGTGTGTGTAGGCGGCATCGGCGTGCCGACAGGTTTTATGCAAAGATTTAAGTTATTAAAACTGTTGAAGTTCTCAACTCACCCCAGACTGCGTAGGGCTGACGAGCGCGTTCATCTTGGCTGACTTTGTTTTTGTTATTTTTTCTTTTTTATCAACGAGTTTTTTTGATTTTAAAAATCATCAGATTGATTTGATTGGAGGTGATTCGAGAGAATGAACAGTAGTGCATCGTTGTTGCGTTCGCCAGGTCATCGAAGAGGGGTGCGTGGGTTGTACCGTGCCATCCTTCGCACGCATCGAAGGCGGCTGCCTCAGAACATGCGTGATCTTGGCGATGCCTTTGTTTCGCAGGAGGTGCGCCCCGCACCCATCACCCACCACTCACGCACACCTTCCTTGCTCTCTTTGTGCACGCTAACGACTTCCATCTTGGTGCAGTTTCGGCTGCACATGGATGTGAAAGATGGACAGGTGGTGGCGGCATTCTTGGCGCGATGGCGCGAGTATCTGACCACGCTCCGATCCAGCGATGTGGAACAAAAGGAAGGTGCTCCGCTTGATGAAGACGCCGTCGCCGCACTGTCCGACGAACAGCGTCAGCAGCTCCATCGGCTACGCACTACCCTTCTCGAAGATAAGGAGAAAGATTAACCCCCTACTCGTTTCTTCATCAATGTTTCAAGCTTCCGCAACCCAAGTATGTGTGGTTCAATCTTGTTGCATTACCAACAAATCTTCTGTACAACTCTTGTTCGATATATCCATCATTTCTTATCCAACAGCGATCCCTCCGTGACGAAGACGATGTACCACGCGTGCAGCACGCCACCGATCCAGAACAGGAAAATCCACAATAAAATGTTGATCTTCGAAGTTGATAGATCGGGTCAGTTCATCGACAAGCAGGACAAGGATACGGAAATCACTAAAATACTGTACCAAGAGATGGATGTCCACGCCGCGCTTCAACAGCACGGTGATAGGCGGCAGGAAGATGGCGATGATCAGCAGGAGCAGATCGGCTGCAAAAGAACGAAGAAGAGATCGCGGATCGCGGAGCGTTAGACGTCGCTCTTCGTTGTTTTTGGCAAGCGAAAGGCATCTGGGGCGCTACGTACTGGTGTTGTTGAGCACCTCGTTGGCATCGCGGAAGTTTTGCGGGCACAGCTCCTCGTTCTTGTTCGACATGGTGTGTGCGTGTGTGTCTCGTGTAGAGGTCGCTCGTTGTGCGTCTTGTGTGGGCAAGTGCGGGCAAAGAGAGAGAGAGAGTTGGCCGACCAACGCGAAGGCGAAAGTGTAAAGTGAGTGTTCGCAATTTGCCCGCACTATGCCGCGGACTTAGCAAATGCCATTAATTGAAATTCTTTTCGGGTCACACAGCTGTGTCACCGCAGATCTCCGGAGACCATCATCACAGTGGCTGCGATGAGTGGATGAGGCAGAGAGGAGAGAGGACTTAGAGGGGAGCGAGACGGAGGCGGGGCACGATGTTCATGGACTGGAGCTCCTGGAAGAGGAGCTTGCAGGCGTAGGGGATCTTCACGTTGGACACGTTGCTGGTCGACTTGCAGTACTGGCACCAGCCCTCGTAGCCCAGCAGTCCGCACGTCTGCACAGGACAGGGAAGATCCGTCATACAAAACTGCACAACGCACGCAACACGGCACACACGGCACACACCACCGCACACACAGCACAGCACAGCACACGGCACACAAGGAAAAGGGCTGGGGGTGCGGGTACCTTGCAGACATTGACTTGGAAGGCGTCGGAGGAGAGCATGAGCCGCTCCAAGAGGAGCATGGAGGCGCCGTAGCCAATCAGACAATCTCGTTCCATCTCGCCCAATCGGAGTCCTCCCTCCCGGGCCCTTCCTTCCGTGGGTTGCCTGTGCGCACGACACGACACACACACGACACACACGACACACGCGACACACGCGACACACACGAGCATGCAACACGCGTGCGCACACGCACAAAGGGATTCAGGTGGTCAGACAAATAAATGGAGGGCCCAACGACGCGACGTGGAGATGGGAGCGAACCGGGTGAGTACAGCCCGAGGGCCGCGAGCACGGGCGTGCATCTTGTCCATCACCATGTGCTTCAGCTTCTGGTAGTACACCGGGCCGAAGAAGATGTAGGCCGACAGCGTCTCGCCCGTGATGCCTGGCGTCACAACACACGCGCACGCACGCACGCACACGCACACGCACACACACACGCGCACACACACGGACGACATTGAGTCCTCCGTCAGTCGTGCGTTGTTGTGTCGTAATGTGCGGAGACGGCGGGCGGGGGGGCTGCATGAAAAAAAAGGGGGAGAGTACCGGAAGTGAGCTGGTCCTTGCCGGAGTAGCTGTAGCCGTGCTTGATGAGGATCTTGCTGAGGTAATCCACCTTGTGGCCCGCGAACGCCTGCGCGGGTGCACGGCTTGTGCGTCAGACCAACACTGGTGATGTCTGACACACACACACACACACGCACCACCGCACACGACACACAACTCGGGGGGGAGGGGGCGTACGGTTCCCTCGTGATAGCAGCCCTCGAGCACGCCGGCCTTGCCGGCGAGAAGTTCGATCATCTTGCCCACGGTCATACGCGAGGGGAAGCCGTGGGGGTTCATGATGATGTCCGGACAGATGCCCTGCGCGCAATCGCACACACGCGTCAGCGCGTGCTTTTGTCATCGTGTGTTGTCGTGTGTGTGTGTGTGTGTGTGTGTCGTAGGCGTGTCGTGTGTGTGTGTCGTGCGTGTTACCTGGTGGTTGAAGGGCATGTCGGGCTGCTGGACGATGATGCCCGTGACGCCCTTCTGGCCGTGGCGCGAACTGAACTTGTCGCCGAGCTCGGGACGTCGCGTGCTACGGAAGAGCACCTTGATCAGGCAGTGGTCCTCGGCGCTCGACGTGAGCAGCACCTTGTCGATGTAGGCGTGCGTGGGTCCCTTGTACGACATCGGCGAGCCCCTGAAAGCTGTTTGCGTGCGTGTGCGTGTGCGATTGCGCCTGCGCGTGTCAGTTACGACGCATCGTGTCGTGTCGTGTCGTGCGCACGTACCGGATTCGGGGATGTTGTCGGGGTTGGCGAGTGTGTCGGTCGTGTTGATGGGCGTCTGTTTGTTAATGTACACCTTGCCGGGCTCGACACGTTCGCCCGGCGAAGCAATGCCGTCCACGTCGAGACAGTCGAATCGCTTCTGACCCCTATCGTTCTCTGGAGGCGGCCCGACGATGCGATCGAACGTCTGGTGGACGGATCGCAAGCGGTGAGTGTCGTGTTGCGCGTGTCGTATTGCGTGTCGTGCGACGAACCTGATTGGGATACTTCTTGATGGTGGCTGTGGTCTTCTTGAGCACGATGCAGCGTCCGAAGCCTCGGTCGACAGACGCCCTGTTGAGTACCAGGGCGTCTTCGATATCGTAACCCGAATAACTCATCACCGCCACCGTCGCATTCTGCCCGGCTCCCAACTGCTCGCACCGCACACACTCGCACATTAGCAACACACACACAACACACGACACACACGACACACACACACACACACGACACACACACACACGACACACACACACACACGATGCCACACGGAAGAAAGGGAAGGAGAG